AACGCTGAATGTCAACGCTCCTTTGAGGGTATCAAGCAGAGCTTGATACAATCCCCAGTCCTAGCAATTGCCGATCAGGACAGGCCATTTCATGTGGTCTGTGATGCCAGCGATTTCGCAATCGGCTGTGCATTAATGCAGTACGATCTTGAAGGCGTTGAACGCGTCGTCTGCTATCAGTCGCGTCAGCTGCAACCAGCTGAGCGGAACTATCCAGTGCATGACAAGGAACTCCTTGCCATGAAGTATGCACTCGCGAAGTTCAGAGTCTATCTATTAGGAGATAGACCCTTCGTTGTTTACACTGACCATGCGTCCTTACGCACGGCAGTGAACAGCCCGCACCTTTCACAACGAATGGCGCGGTGGTTGTCATTCTTTGCAGAATACAACTTTACGGTCGAGTACAAACCAGGACGACTTAATGTCGTCGCTGATGCACTCTCACGTCGTCCCGACTTTGAAACAGTCGCGAAACCCAACAGTGAGACAGTCACTGTTGCGGTTATGACGTCCTCAGTTCCATCTACAACGTTGTATGATGATGTGAGGCGGGCATACGCCCAAGATGGTGAGATAGCGAAGTTGTTGTCACATCTCTCCCAACCATCTCGAGAATCGTTGAAACGATTGTCGTCTGCGTATCGATCTGCATCAGATCGATACACTACTCGTAACGGTTTACTGTACTATACAGCCGTTTCTGGTGACACACCACGTGTTGTCATTCCAGATGATACTGATCTGCGTTTGCGGATCATGTTCGAGTATCACGATGCTCCTATAGGAGGACATCGTGGCCGAGAGAAAACATATCTCACGGTAAGTCGAGACTTTTACTGGCCCCGCCAGTATCAGTTTGTGCGAAAGTATGTTCGCGCATGCGAAGTCTGCCAACGAGTGACGTCAAGTCCTTCACTGCGTGCACCTTTACAGCCTCTACCGGTTCCGGCTGAGTGCTGGGAATCCATCTCAATGGATTTCGTCTTCGGGTTACCCAAAGACGCACGCGGGAATACGGGTATTCTCGTATTTGTTGACAGATTCAGCAAAATGGTACACCTTGTGGCTGTACCAGAGACAATCACGGCAAGTGGCTGTGCTTGTGTCTTTATTGACACCATCTTCCGACTTCATGGGTTGCCCCGTGAACTCGTATCAGACAGAGATCCACGATTCACTGCTGATTTCTGGCGTTCCGTGTTCAAATCACTCGGAACGCGCTTGAAGATGTCAACATCTGATCATCCAGAGTCAGATGGTCAGACGGAACGTGCCAATCGTGTCCTTGAAGAGATACTTCGAGGATACGTACACTCCTTTAAGAGTTGGAGTGAGTTTTTTGCCGATGGTAGAGTTTGCCATCAACAACTCGGTGCATGCGTCCACGACACATACACCGTTTTACGTGAATGGCTTGCGCCATCCGCGTGTACCCACCTTACTAGAGTGTAACTCTGGTTTAAGGGGGGGGACTCGCGCGAGCAAAAACCGATTTGGTTCACGCTCATCACGCTCTGACGAAGAAGTCATTGCGTTTGATGCCGATATCGATAACATCGATATCGAAGAAGATGATGCCAGTGAGAGTGCGGAAGCCCTCACTGAAGACAATGATCCCAGTGAGAGTGCGGAAGCCCTCACTGAAGAAAAGGTTGTTGTCGCTGCAGTGCGCTCACAGCACACTGAAGCTAACGAGTCATCAGATGAGTTCATACTGGCTCGTGAAACGGTAGTCCGTTTTGTGCAAGATTCCATCGCCGAAGCGGTGGATAAGCAAAAGCAAAACGCTGACAAGGATGGAAGGGCAAACACTCTTTTATTTAATAAAGGTGACTTAGTCCTACTGTCTACGGTTAATCTACCAAAGCATGTAGTGACTAACTTGGGTAGCAGTAAACTACTACCCAAGTACATTGGGCCATTTCGTGTATTGCACCGCCTAGGCAATGCATACACGATCGAGTTACCACGTAAGATGCGAACGCATCCCACGTTTTACGTTGGTCGGCTTAAGCCGTACCATCAGTACGCTGCTTCTTCCGATGAAGAACGCCCTTGCGCTCAAGCATCTCGCAGAGAGCCTTGTGCTCCCGATGGTGGGCATCAACAAGGGTCTGAAGAGCAGCTATCTCATCCCGAGACCGATCAGCAATCCCACGAGCTACCCTTAGCTCGTCACGAAGAGATGTCAGAGATCTCTCGTTCTCGAGCTGAGCAAAGGCAAACTCAGCTCGATGCTTCGAGGCAGTGTCCGCCATTTGGAGACGCCTATTCCGCTCATGTTCGAGATCGTCGCGTAACCCTTGCGTTACGCGATCAAAGAAGCTCTCGGGTACACACCGATCCACATGATCGTGTGGAGAGCGTCTTTCCTCCTCCTCCACCTCCATTAGAGGACTCTCGCGGTGGCCAGCGCTATCTAGTTGAGCAGCTGTTGAACCACCGCGACGTGAACGGACGTCGGACGAGTTATCTCGTCCGGTGGCGCGGCCATCCCCCGTCCTGGGATTCTTGGGAGCCCCGCTCCCAACTGATGATCGACGTACTGGGTCTGGTAGAGCAGTACGACGCGGCACATCCTGTGCCGCAGAAGGACCGCCGGAGAAAGTCTTCCCGGCACGGTCGTAAAGGGATTTCAGGTTGTCAATCCCTTCGTACATCTCAATAGAGATACGTACGCGCCACCACGGGCTATTAGGGAGGTAAGCCTCCTTAGGTGCTCGTGCAGAGTTGTTCACACAACACGGGCACGAGTCTCCCCAAGAAAGGCAGGGTAATCCTTTCTCCCTTGACAGACGATGCAGCTTGTAGCGTGCACCTGTCGGGGTTCGCTTTTCAAACTTATCACGAGCTTTGATAAGTTTGTCGTTCCAAGCGTCACGACCTACATCCTCGAGATTATGGATGTAGGCGTTCCACGCCTGAAGTAGTGAGGGACCATCACGTTTGTGATTCCCACTGTACCATCGATGTCTGAAGAAAGCATCGATGAAGAACTCATGTTCAGCGCGATAGTCTTTCGCGCTGGGGTCAAGGTGATGAATCCTCGACGAATCGAACAATCGTGTTCGATAACGATCACTCGTCGTCGCCGACAAGTGATCCATGACAGATTTAGGAGGCATCCATGCCTTCTTTTCTGGAGCGAGACGCAACACATTGCGGTCCCGCTCTTCCTGCGACGTGCCGACAGAAGTACTGGCACCTCGCTGTGAAGTGGTGTCCATTGGAGAAACGACACCACTGTGAGCGCCCGAGTCTCGCGACCTCGAGCGCCTTCGCTTCGGCGATGGTTCATCTGACTCATCAGATGAACCAAAGATGCTGCGACGCAAAGCATCGTCCATGCCACGCTTGGCAGGCGGCTTGGATTCAATTGCCGTCGATACGGATCCGTCATCCGTATCAGGAGAGTACGAGACACCGAGCTCGTACTCTGTGAAGACACGAGTGTCTTCATGACCAGCGCCTGCATCACCAGGTGATACAGGCTGAGTCGATTCAGCAACCGATGGGACATCAGTTGCTGTAGTTTCTGCTTCGGCGTCCGCACAGAGACGTGCAGACGCGCTCTCGGCGGCCTTGCTCGCGCATCGCATGGGCTTGTTTACCATGCGATGAGATGTTGGAAAGTGGACGCGGACCAACAAGTGCAAACCCCGTCCCAAATGATTTGGGACGAGTATCCATTTAGTCAATCAGTCACTAAAGTGACTGATGGTTAAGGGGGGTGATGTAACGGGGTGAATCGTTACATAACAATTTATAAGAAATTGTTAATAGAATATAACTATAAGAGTTATATTCTCAGAATATTGTCATAAGGACAATATTCTGTAGCACTTCCAAGTAGTTCCTAATTGGTTGATATAGGCCATTATATCAACCAACGAAGACGCGCCACGACAGACGCACGCAATGAGTGGTGAGCAGATAACTGATTTACACATTTGTATTTAGACATAGTTAGATGAAGATAAATAGTGATTTATTGCAGACATTAACTATTATAAATACAGTTCTACTTTTTACTCTAACCAAGTACTCGCTTCTTCTTACCGTCTTCCTCTGCACGTACGAGTGTACGTGAAGTTACGAGGCACCGCCTTATTCTGTTATCAGAATAAGTAGCTTGTACTGTCACCAGTACAAGCTTCAGGGTGCCCCGTTACATGAACGGGCAAGAGTTGTTGTAGTAGAGCTACTTAGCGCTCCTTAGCAGAGAAAGTCTTAGACTCAAAGAGTCTCTTAGTTATAACAAACTAACAACGACGTACAGTCGCTCAAGCGTAAAGCTTAACGATCCCGGTTCCAAAGGGATTGCGATTCACAGAATCACACACTAATTCGAAGCTACTAGTCAAACAAGAGTAAGCGCCCTGACAAGGCTAACACTCTTACAACGCATTACGCTTTGACTAGGCACTTGTGTTTAACGATAAAAAGTGGAACTGAACTTTGTTTATTATTTAACTACGGTAATAAAACCCTAAAACGTTGTCTCAATGACATCTACATTGCGATCCTACGACAGAAGTCTTGTCCCTTGTCCTTGCCCGATAAGATGCGGTAATACCGTAAGTACGTGGTGCCAATACTGCATCACTCAGATCCACCGAATTTTTTACTTGGTGTAAACACACAACATAACCGGTTCAATAATCGTCGCGTAACTCCGTTGCAAACGTTATGCTGGAGGCTAAGCACTTCATGTTAGGGGCAGTAAGTTACGACAGCATATTTCTTTGCTTGTTAGTTGCAGTGAGTTGCGGCAACAACATTTTGTAAATATGTAACTTTTGTTCGAGACTGAAGACGACTGTAATTGCTTGGCAATTGCAAGACCCAATTTACGATAAAATAACAAGATTCAGGTCTGTTCAACCGTTGCAGTGAGAAGTGCTTATTCAGCGACAAGATTTTTATCGGGTACAACCGGTTGCTTCTTTCATCGACACAAGCTAATGAGCGAGCTTGTCTCCGCTCACTTGTTCAACTTAGCCCGCCTTTTTCATCGCACGGTCCTTTCGGTTGTGGTTTGCTATTTTAGCCTTGTTCTTGTCTTTCCTTGCTCGCTGGCGTTGAATCTGCTGTGGCATTAATGCTTCGCTTGGCCCCGTTTCACCACCTGGCTTGTTGCTTTTATGCCGAGCAGATTTGTGCGTTGCATCAGAAGAAAGCTGCGGAAATCCTGACGATGTACCCGGAGCTTTTTGCTCACCCAGCTTTTTCGCCTGTTCTCCGTCATCACCTCTCTTACTATCATCAGTAGAAATCCGGGCGCTTTCACGATTGCGGTTCTTCATGCCTTCCCAAAACGCTTCTTTCTCCTCTTTTGCCCGAACCTTGCGGTTCTGTTCGCGGATCGTATCCTGGTCGTCTGCGCTACCGCCATCGCGAATAGTGAAGGGCACAAAGTCATCAAACTCGTCATTGTAATCGTCGTCGTACTCGTCGAGTGTGCCCACAGCATTATCCACGCGATTCTCATCTCCGCTGCTATCATCATCCTCATCACCGTACATCACAACCAGCTCCTTCATCTTCTCGTACAGCTGCTCATCCTTCTTCACACTTTGAGGGTCGTATGTCTTTTCCATCTTCTTTTTACCCACCCATACTTGGCTTGGATGAAGCATCTTCGAATGATCAACCTTCAGTGCAGGTGCAGGTTTTCCAGTAATCTGAGCTTCCAAGCGTGTAAACTCAACGTCTGTTCGTTTCAGATCCTGGGACACGTCAAGCAAAATAGGCGGAGGATTGCGTTCCAGCAGAAAATCAACCACAGCCTCTACTTGCAAATCCGAGCTCAGCAAGCAAAGCTCAACGTATCCTTCTCCCAAATCAGGAAAGAACTCCCGTACTTGATGTATCATTAAAGCCAGCTCCAGCTCCGGCTCACCGCTCGGCGAAATACCAGCACTTTTCTCTTCACAGACATCACCAGCTTCGCCTGCCTTGCTATCCTTCGAAGGTGTCGATTTCGACTTGGCTTCTGCAGCCAAATCGTCCACGAGCAATTTAGGAAGAACGCGTCGTCGCGGGAGTCCTTCCATCAGCATGTCTAGGTACGAAGAGTGCTCAGAATCAAATTGGCAGCGTTGAAAGTAGTCTGCCACCTTCGCTTTGTATCCACATAGGAACCACAAGTCACTCAAAAATGACCCGTGCTCTGCATTCTCATCTTCGTCTGCACAGCAATCGCTCAGAGCGTGCAGCCCAGCCAGCAGCTTCTCAGCATCCACTGACTTGATCTCGTTCAGCATCACGTCCACACATCGTCCCAGTACTTTCAACAGCGTCTCTCGAGTCTTTGCAATCATCAACAGACGCGGCTGCATCTCCTTCCGATCGTCTATTGAGCGAGTCAAAAACTGGCGATGAAAAGTCGGCATTACCACTTCGTACCACTGCACGAGTTTATAGAGCAGCGACTGGTTAGTTATTGACAGCTCTGTCAAAAAGTACGGACTCTCCAGCAGCAGCAACTTGGTGATTGACGTAGCTGTCATCAAGCCATTTATTGACAGACTCAGCTCGTAACCGCGTCGAATCAGATGGTCGACAACATGGTCCTGGACTTGACCCTTTACCTGCAACATACCGCTATAAACGTCATGAAGTTGCGCACAGTAAAGTTGCTGCACGTCTGTAAGCGTTGTCAAAAATGCAGCCACGTTTTTGACAACCGCGTCTAAAAGTGCGGCTACGACACGGGCATTATTGACACTCAAGACCTGACACAACGGGACCAGTCTCGACACATGCAGCAGTCCACAGTCCACTGCGCGCTGCTGTAGCGCCGGCGTAGCGTCCGCCAGACGGCGCAGTAGCAACTCCAGAGCGTCAAAATCATCCGCGAGCGTCTTGTCAGCCGGGTCTTGACTTGCGTCGCGACTGTCAATAACATCTGCATGGACCTGTCGCTCTGTCGCTTGTGTCAAAAAGGCATCAAGGCAGTTGAGTAGTAGCGGCAGCTCGTCACTGGAAAGATACGTCAGTAGCGACGCGCTCGCCATCGACGCTTTGTCGTGTGGTGTCATTCTTACTTGTCAATAACCCGGGGAATCAAAACCAATCCGTCAAAAAAGAATGAACACCCAACAAGCAAGAGAAAAACCTCAAAACCCCCCAAGCTCGTGTCAAGAACTGTCGTACAAAAACGACCAATCCGTCGTCGGACACGTTTTGCACCCGTCTCCTCGACACAACCTACGCCCGTCTCTACGACACAACCCACGCCCGTCTCCCATCTACCTCATGCTCCGCCGCTTGCGCCACGCAGCAGCGACACCGCGTCGTCTACGCACGTCCAGCACGGCGCTCGTTGGCACTGGTCGTCGTTGTACGACCGACGATTCCGAGGCCGCGCTCGCTCAGCAGCTGTTGGAGTTTACGTCGCGTGCGACCGAAGGCGACACAATTAACGCCCAGGACGCCTTGTCGACTCTGCAGGCGGAATTGCCCGTCAACGGCGTGATCGTGGGCGTGCAGAACGGACTGGCGCGGGTGTCGGGGCTGCGACACGCGGCAAGTGGGAGCGTCGTGGCCGTGGCCGATATCGAGGGCCAGTTTTTGTGTCGTGGGCTGGTGCTGTTTCTCGAAACGAAATGCGCGCATGTGGCGTTATTTTGTGTCGACCACGACACAAAAGTTGCCCCTGTCACGAAAGGGATGACAGTGGCGCTGAAGCAGACACAGCTGGCGATCCATGGAAGTGTCGCAGCGTTTCGAGGAGCTCTTGTGGACCCGTTGGGAAGCGCCTGGCCGCTCGAAACAGACGAGCTGCACTCTGAAATGGCGTCCAAGGCCGCAGCCACTGACCGTGTGCGCGTCACGTGGAGCGCCCAAAGTGTGCCGGGCCTTATATTCCGTGCGCCACTCTGCTCGCCTTTCGACACGGGACTATTGGCGATCGACTGTCTGCATCCGATGGCTCATGGCCACCGCTTTGGTGTGTTGGGACCTGCTCAGTCGGGCAAGACGCGAGTCGCGCTGGACGTGATTGCGCACCAAGTCGCTCACGCCAAAGCTCGGAATGAACAGCCGCCGCAGTTTGTCTACGTGTGCATTGGCAAAAGCTCAGCGAGGATTCACCAGATTCGGGAAGCTCTCAACGTGACGGGGGCGCTGGACTTTACGACCATTGTGGCGGCAAGTGATCAAGACTCGCCCGTGCTGCAGTACTTGGCACCGTTCACAGGCTGTGCCATTGCAGAGTATCTGATGCAGCATGGCAAATCTCGACAGAGTGTTGTGGTGTACGATGACTTGGCGACACATACAACAGTCGTTGAAGGACTGGTGCAAGTGCTGCGGCTGCCTCGTGCTGCACAGATTGGTCTCAGTGCACACGCAGTGCTGATGGAACGCTCGGCTCAATTTAAAAGTGATTCAAAGATGGAGGTGGGGCCGTCGCTTACGTCGCTCGTGCTGGTGAATACTCCGGACAGTCGAGAGATCCCGTCGGAGTTTCAAGAACGCGTGGCATCGCTTGTTGATGATTTTGTTTGTCTAGAAGCGTCTCTCGCGCAGCACCGGATGTTCCCGCCGATAGACGTATTGGCACCTGGCCCATCAGTCCGAGGGCCACCTTTTCAGTCGGCAACGCGCTGGACGTTCATGAGTCGGCTACGTGCGCGCATTAATGCTGCTGCACAAGTCAAGCACAATGTTGAGGTCGCACGCAAGCTGGGTTTTGAGACCGAGCCGCAGGACGCCGAGAGGCTGGAACACCTTGAGCTCGTGCAGCAATTTTTCTCGCAAAAGCCATTGCTCTCGTCACTAAAGCCAGGAGTGCAAGGGACAGCAGTGACCGAGCTGGAGATCGATTTGGGTGCTTTTTTCTTGACCATTGTTGACGTGGCGCAGCTGCCTGGCAGCGCAGGTGCTGAAGAGCCGCCATTGGATCTGTGGCAGTTTCTACGTGACGTCGTGGTCAGGCTTTCTCGAGCAGAAAACCACGACATTTTGCACCAGTTGACTACACACACACGTACGAAGGCGTGGACCCTGGATCTCCAAAAGAATGTGGCTTCGGCGTTGTATGAGGAGCTGAAGACAACCAAGCAGCGTCGAACGCAGGAGCACAAGGACGAGCAAGTGAGGAAGCGTAAGCAGTTGTTGCTCAATCTTCAGAAGCGCGCGGCTAGAGAGACAGAAAAATAGGCATGTTGTGAGATCCTGGCGATTGATTGTGGAGGCTGTGATCTGCTGGGAAGCTGACTAGCTTTTGGTTGCGGTCAATGTCGACGTTGTGGAGGGTGAGAGTATACTGCAAAGATGGTCATTCTTTTGGCATATGCGTTCGTCGCATTGCGCTAACTGCATTGACAGTAAATGAGTTGCAGCATTTACCAGAACACCAGCACGTGGTCGAGTATTGTTGAAAGGACGCAATGATGTACGCATTTTCTAGCTTGTCTGACACTTGCAGTGCTAGATCCGGATACCCACTAGGTGCTGTTCACCGTTGTGAGATCGTTTTCAGTCCATCCACTCGACCGCTTGATCATAGAGCCGTGAATCGCCTACGCATCCGCTATCGACCGCTGTCAAGCTGCTGGTTCAATGAACTTGCTGCACCTGACTAAGATCGAGCAAACTATAGACGGCAGTATTTGGGCAAGCGATGTAGTCTGCTAAAGTCGAGTGTTCGGTTACGAAGATGCGATTGTCACCTCTTCTTGGATTCGTTCGCGGCAGCTCGAAACAAGGCCTTAGTCCGCGTGCGAACAATCAATGGTATGGTTGTACATTTGGCGATGCAAAGTTCACTCTTCCAACCAAAAGGGTCCAAAGCTTCGATACTGGATAGCTCATCCTAACTGGGCTGCTGAACTCCACATGAGCGGCACGACTGATACCAAGACCTGGAGGTTCGCGTCGTGGTAAAAGCCAGGAGCTAACGAGCCCACACTACAAGAATGCAGCACAGTAGCGAAATTTGCTATTGGTTTTTCCACTCCACTTCATGAAGACCGTACCATGCATGGTAGTGTTGGGACATGCCGAAAGAACTTAAACTCACGCCAGCGTTTGCTTCTCAATCAGCAAATCTTGCCATCAAGGAATCATCTTCCATGCCATCGCCAAGAGTAGTCGATGGAATTGCACTGAAGACAAACTGAAGAGATTGTATCCGTTCGAGCTGCAACTGACGTCTAGTTGATATCGAAACTGAGCTCGATTGTGCCTTCCAGCGAGTCAAAGCAAAACTTGAAAGTTACTGAGCGCACAGCTGCTCCACTAGCAGCTCCAGATGGCACCGGTGGGAGAAAACGAATAAGCTGCTTCGCGTAGCGCACGGTAGGACCAGTAGCCACCACGTGATGGCCTGCCATATCCAAGACGTATTCCACCCATACGATCACCGCATTTGCTGCCGAGTCCTTGAGGTTTATGATCCCGTTAGTAGCAACTGTATGCGCTGTCATCATGAAGTTCATGGCGGCAAGCTCTACCACGTCCGATGCTTGTTCGTGGCGATACATGTAGACCGGGAATGGGAAGTTGCGCGTGTAGTATCCGTCCTGGAACCGATCAAAGTAGCTGTGATCGTAACCTGATACATTTCCCACTGCTCCAAAGCATTGGTGCAAGTGCTCGAAACGCACAGCTTGGGCTAGCACCCTCGCACGGGTAGGCAATACACGGCTTTTCGGGTGCAACAGTCCATCAACCGCTGAACGTCGCAGCCAGAAGTTGAATGCTTGCCAGAGCGGAAGGTTCTGCATCGAGTAGTAAAAAGGTTCACCAACTAGCAGGTCGACACTTGAAGGTTCACCTTGGAGATGTTCAGGAAGCAAGCCCTTTACACCACAGTTAAGCACCATGGCCTCGGTCGCGTTGTGGCTCAGAATCTGATCAAAGATCCGTGCCGACACCTCTTTCGACTCGATTGAGGTCACACTAGACACCTGCTTGTGCATCGCAGCCAGCAATGCAACCAGCGACCCATCGCTGATATCAAGACAGGAGATCGGGTGCGAAGCATCCTTTTGTGTAAGCTCAGCGATGGTGGAGGCAACTGCTGCTGTATACGCTTTGCAACGTGCAGAATCCGTGAGCATGGCGATACGCTCAGCGTTGCAGATGAGGTGCATTCCACAAGTACACGGAGGTTTTTCGTGCAGGATCGTACGCTTTGCTGTATCAGAGGGGTCTTTTTCCGGAACAGTTTCAACATCAAACCAAATGCGGATATCGTCATGGTGAGCGCGCAAGAGCAGCTTCTCGCTTGGTTGCGTTTGGATATTCTCCACAAGGGGAAAGACGACCTGTACCCAGTGATCCTGCCAGTTCATTGCGCCAGCTTTCGTGGAGTACACGATACTATCGTCGACATCGAAGCTCACCTCCCACCACATGAGAACAGCTTGAACTTTCCCAGCCTCGCAAACATCAACTACCGTTTCGCGAAACTCTTGAGTGCCAGCGGTCAACTTGGTGAAATCAAACTTCAGCACCTCTACCGGTTTCGTCAGAAACTTTGTGTTGTTTTCCAGAGCCTGGAAATGCACTGGTAACGCCGGCTTTCCACCTTTGCACTGCCATGCCGTGTCACTTCTTGCCAGAACAGCTTCACGCACCTCTCCAGCACCTTTCTCAGGATCTCGCAAAGGTACCTCAAAGCTATTGAAGTGGTAAATCGACTCGCTCTCGACAACTTGTGCGAACACTGAAGCCCGCTCGGGTACAAGGACAGCAGCTGGAGTCAATAGATGCTCCATAGCATGTCGAAGTGTAGGCAGCACAGCTTCTCCAAGCAACCCCGAGTCAAAGAGCTCGGAGACGAGCATATCGGCTCGTCGAGGTAAGTGGTACGTCTGCTGTGGATCCCTGTCTTGCTCCATTTCTGGACGGACCCTCAAGTCAGTGGAGCGCAACTTGAAGACCGTGATGGTAGCCGGATAGTTCGCTGCTGTCACTTGTGCTGCAATTTCGGCCATGGGTTCAAACATCTCGCACGCGTAAACGTGCTCTGCTCCATATTGCGCAGCCAGCATGGAGAGTAACCCCGTTCCGGTGCCAATATCCAGCACGAGGGGTGCCCGGTTATGCTTTTCCTGGAAAGTCGCAATGGCATGTCGAATTCCACGGGCGTAACAAGTATTGCGGTCCTTATCCCGTAACATGGACGTCATTTGAGACATGGCTACAACGTTCTTATACACATTTGAGGCACTAGGTTGTTCAATCCACATAAGACCACCTGCTTCGGGGTTTAATTGGGCACTTAAGAGGACTTTGGATACCTTCGAGACACCGGAATTTGGGTCCGTTTCGTCCAAAAGGTACGAATAGGGTACATCCACGACCACGGTCTCTTCAGCAGCGGCAGTCTCAATTGCGTCTTCTAAGGACAAGCCAGAGGTAGCATGTGATGCACAAGAAGGAGCTGTAGTAGTGTTTGCATGGCTTTCGCCGACTAAGGTGCCTCCGTACTTGTCGATTCCAGCGTACATGGGTGCCAATGGGTGGTTTAGAGAGACTCGGTGTGATGGCTACACTTAATGGACGTTTCAGGATAGCGTTTCAGTGGTTTTCAGGATAGCATGACCGCATACTCGGATATGCTGATGCGATATGCTGGATTGCGTTTAGTATACTGATGACATCATGGGAGCTGAGGAAGCCGTTCTGGGGTACACAAATACAGGATGTGTGAGACAGCGTCTGGTTATTGATGAGCAGAGGTTACGATCGATTTTACAAAATAAGGTGAGATTGGACTTAGAAATAACCAGCAACGTAGCCGGGGGGGAGGGACACAAACATGTCGACGACATCCCGTAAATCTACAAAGATCCTAACACAAGCAATTTGGACCACGGCAAATAGAAACGCGACGGCAAAGTTTACGAAATAGCGGTCGCACAACCTAATTCTTCGCTGTCTCAATGTAATTCGTCGCTAACTCCTTCCACCCGTCCAAAGATTCTGAAAAAAAACAACACAGTTTCAACCAAACCGTTGAGCCACATCACTACCAGACTGCAAGTGACTATCCACTCGACTGGTTCAAGCCGACCAGATAAAGCAGGTTCCCAGTCACCAAAAGACCATGTCTACCAAACCACTGGCACGGCAGCCAGTAGTACTACCAACTGCAACACAACCAGGAAGCCAGAAGTGATAGAGTGATCAGCACTCGAGGATGCACTTGTCGGTTCAGATGCAGCAGCTTCTGCATGATCATAACTTAAATCTTGATGGTCGTCGTCGTGGTCATGATGGCCCACGTCGTCACCTATCAAAGTCCCATGAGCTCCTGACGAGGGCGAGGTCGTGCCATTGGTCGGACCAGCTTTAACGGTCTGGTCGGCCGGATCTGCACCGTCTCCGTGGCAGAATTCGTCAAGTAGAACGTACGAGTCGAGGTCCGTTATCGGGCCCAAGTCAAGGGTAGCGTAGCACTCACGCGTGTCGTCTTCGGTAAGCACGTGCAGAGCTTCATGACACGTCTTGTTATTGCACTTGAGCTGGGAGACGCCAGGGAGCGAGTCGCACGCGTTCCTTGCCGTCGTGAGGGACTCGGCCGTGCAAGTTGCTGAACTCGAGTCTTGAGCGGCAGAAGGCGTCGCAGCTAGTGCAGCAAGTGCGATAATGATAGCAGGACTGAACGGTCTCTTCATGTAGAGAGGATTGAGGTTGAGTGTGTGTGTGAATGTACAAATGGGAAACTGCATGATCCAGCCCAAGAACTTTACAACCAAGGCAGAGATATATCGTGGTGGATATCAAGAGAAGAAAGAGAGAGAGAGGCAGTAGAGAGATGCCTGCCATCGGACAATTCATACAGCTGGTACCACATTGTCCCCCGATACTTGCACCTCGTCGCATAGTGATGATACCAGGTGATCTCTACTTTGTCGTCGTCCAACGTCCAATCTACTTTTCCATCCAGAGCGAAAGTCGGACGTTTCGAGCGAATCTGTCTGACTCCCACTTCGTATCCGACAGGAGAGACCCGCTCTCCTTTTTCCAGACTTCACGCACATACTCACAGCAAGATTAAAATAAATAAAAATAAATAAAAATAATAGCCAACCCGTCGCTAGGTTTACCATGTTCAAGCAGCTCCTGTGCAAGAACCTGTTTCCGAGACGGTAAACGCACCGGATCACGTCACCTCCGGACAATCGTCCTCTGACCGCCTCGATTTGTGCATCTAATCGGCTCCGATTGTTCCGGTCCAACCGTTGCTTCGTCCCTCCAATCACTTTCACTTTCGACGTCACTCTCACGGTACCGCACCATGTCGTTCAACCTGCGCACTCTTTTGGTGGTACTCCTTTGGTTGGGCACCTTTCCCATCTCTTCAGTTGTTGTAGGACAAGAAGAAGCCCAAGAATGCAGTGGTCATGGTCAACTCCATGGTAACCATTGCCACTGTGCCGAAGGCTTCAAGAGCGAAGGTGTCGAGTGCATTGCGAGCTCGAGCGCCAGTTCGTGTCCAGCTGGAGGTATCGCGTGGGAGCTCTCCATGGCCCTAGCTCTTGAAAACGGGACCTACGACCTCTCCTTTGTTGACAATGCAGAGAACATGGCCATGTTTGTACTGCCCATGGACGTGGCTGCAGATCAACCGGTTACAGTGGAGGACCTCGAGTCGTCAATTGAGCAGACGACACTGTTGTTGGACGACGTGGCATTGCCTCGCCATCTTGTCAAGGCATCCCGTGACATGGCCCCGACCGAGAAATTGCTGTATATTATCCAGCGCAATGACGCTGAAGAACTCGCAGCCTTGCGAGCTGAGTGCGAGGCTAATCCGGACAACACGTGGCACATTGACCACTGCGATGGACCGGGTGGCCACGATCGTCGCCGTCTTGCAGCCATGTCGATCAGCTTGGTTGTCAACCAAACGGGGTACTATGCTTTCCATATGCAGCACAACGCAATCGAAGAGTTCGGCATGCAACTGCTTGACAGCAGTGGACAAGAGGTTCAAGTCGCACTCGCGATTGCTGAAGCAGATGCAGATGCATCGAGTGGAAAGAAGTCTTCACATAGGAAGGCGTCAGCGTCCGTATGGGGGAAAACCATGGGCGCCGTTGCTATCGTTGCAATTCTATCGATCGTTGGCATCTTTCTCCTCATCCTGCGCATCTCTGCACTGGACAAGATGATGGATGCAATGGTGGCGCTATCGGCAGGGGCATTATTTGGTGCCGCTTTCCTACACATTTTGCCGGAATCCATTGAATTCTACAGCGACTACGGCCAGATGGAACTCGCCTTGAGTTCCATGTTCACGTTCGGGTTTGTCGTTGCTATGATCGTCGAGATGGCGCTCGAGCTCTGGATGAGCAAAGTCCAAACCAGTGAAGGGGATAGCCAGGTGCCTATGTCCGTGAACTCACCGATGAATGGTACACCAGCCAAGCAGCCCGAAACATCCGAGACGGCTGACTACTCAAACGGGAACTTGCCTATTCTCGTTGGACGCGAGTCAACGAGGATCTCTCCCTTCAGTTTGAACGTCAACTGGCGAGCAATCAAACCTATGGCGTACATCATCCTTATCGGAGATTTGTTTCATAACTTTGTGGACGGCGTGCTGATTGCGACGGCGTTCCTCGCTTGTGATGATACGCTTGGGGTATCGGTGACCGTCTCGTCCATCCTGCACGAGCTGCCGCAAGAGTTTGCGGACTTTATCATTCTCGTCGAGTCGGGCTTTACACCGTTCCAAGCCGTGCTGTTTAATTTTGTGAGCGCACTGACAGCATTCATTGGGGCTGCTGTGGTGCTGGCTGCTGTGCCCGTCACGAACGAAACCATGGGACTGCTACTTGCAGTTGGATCGGTAGGTCACGAAAGCGTGCGGATGTACGACTTTCGAGTCACTAACTTTGTCTACTCTGTGCTTTGAACAGGGTACACTTGTGTATATTGCGGGCACGGATCTACTGCCTGGAGTACTGCGCGTGAAGTCGTTCGGCCAGTTTGCCGTGCACCTTTTCATGTTCGCAGTTGGGGTTGGAGCGCTGGCGCTCACGACATTGCACCACGTGCATTGCAACGCCGACTGAAGCGAAGTCCTTACCAGGCTAATGTACACGACACAGCGGTCTCAGTTAACTGCTTCACAAAGCTTGTGTGTGTGTGTGCACTTGCAAGGTATGAAAGAGCTTGACGAAGACGAATGCAGGAAGCTTTTTCCTCCGACATTTGAGCTCGCACCTCAACCGTTTCGTGTCTGGCCGATCTTGCGCATTGTGATCGAGTGAACACGCACATGCCTCACGAGCTGATGCTGGAGTAGGCAGACAACAGGACAAATCGCACCGATCTTCTTCAATGCTTGCGTTTGTTTACGTCGTCGATCATAAAACGGTGCGCAGAGCATGCGCTTGTCCGTCGCGTTCTGATTCCCACTAGCACATACCTGGTCGCGGAATTCGCCTCATTCTCGTCCTGGATGCTCGACCGCTACGACAAATCAACGCAGACGATCAAGTGTTCCTTGCAGCACATCATATGCATCTCATGCCAGCTTCAGTCCAGCAAGTGCATCGGTGTGCTGCAGCATCATTCTGCGTGGCTTTGCATCATTTAAGTTTCCAGAGTGAGCAACTTCCATAGCAGGATGCCATGGAGCCTCATGACAAGGAAACCAGTTCAAATATAGCGAGCGCCGCTACTTCCGGATCTAAACAAAACAGCACGCCTAATATCACAAACAACCATTAAAAAAGACGTCGCAGTTGTCCACTATCGCGTGCGTGCATCATCTTCCGAACTTTTGAGCATCCTGGCTCCGAACTGGTTTCAACAATCCACAGTCGGACTTCTACTTCAAGTGCGGCAGCTGCTCCCTGCGACAACCCGTCTGCCTGTAATTTCGTGTGGTTTACACCAAAAAACCCGACTCGTCGTTGTTTGCGCATACGTACGCAAGCGTGTCATTCGATTAGTGTCATTATTTGATTGGACACGAAGTACGTACACATCGTTGACGTCATGAGCAACAAGACTTACAACATTGCTGTCCTCCCAGGGGACGGCATTGGCCCGGAAGTCTGTGACCAGGCCGTGCAAGTGCTCACGACCATTGGCGAGTTGTTCCAGCACCAGTTTGCCTTCACCAAAGCGCTCTGTGGAGGTGCAGCGTTTGACGAGCACCAGGTGCACCTGCCCCAGTCGACAATTGATACTGTTGCAGCTTCGGATGCCGTGCTCTTTGGCTCGGTAGGAGGTCCGACAGACGCACAAGAGGACCCCAAGTGGAAGGACGCGGAGAAGAACTGTCTCTTGGGGCTGCGCAAGAACTTCCAGTTAGCTGTGAACATTCGTCCCGCCAAGATTTACTCCATGCTGCCGGATCTGTCTCCACTGAAGCCCAGCATCATTGCAAACGGCGTGGACATGGTCATTGTCCGTGAACTCGTGTCGGGCATTTACTTTGGTGAGCACAGCACGAACGGTGACACGGCAGTTGACGTGATGAAGTACACAGAGGCGGAGGTACGAGGCTGGCTGTAGAAGGATTAATTGAGAGGCTGAGGTTGATGGAGTATTGTTGTTGTTGGTGCTGTTTTATCGTCTGTGATTGATGGTGTACCACAGATTACCAAGCCCATGAAGTTTGCCTTTGAGACTGCGATGGGAGTACGTTTTGCAATGTTTCTCATGGAAGAGATGCAAAATATGGTTGTGGCGAGATGTAGTTACTGACTCATGATGTTGCAGCGCTCGAAGCGACTGACGGTCGTGGACAAGGCGAACGTTCTGGACTGCAGTCGTCTGTGGCGCAAGGTGGCCAGGGATGTTTGCAAGGACTATCCGGAGGTCAAAGTCGACTTTATGTAAGCACTGCAGAGTGGGTTGTGGAGTGGTTGTTGGGCAACAAGTATGGAAAAATGACACCTGACAGTGTATTTGAATGCTTGAAGGTACGTCGACAATGCTGTGATGCAGCTGATTCAGAACCCGTCGCAGTTCGATGTGATCGTCACTGGCAACATGTTTGGCGACATTCTGTCCGACGCAGCTTCAGTGTTGCCAGGTTCACTTGGACTGATGCCTTCGGCCAGTCTCGGTGACAAGGTGCACCTTTTCGAGCCTATCGGTGGAACAGCGCCTGACATTGCGGGCAAGGACCTTGCCAACCCGATTGCACAGATTTTGTCTGCTGCGTTGCTGCTGCGGTACTCGTTCCAGATGGAAACGGAGGCCCAGCTGATTGAAAAGGCTGTGGAGCAGGTGCTTCTGGATGGTATGCGAACGGGTGACCTGACGAAGGACAAGTCTGCTGTGGTTGGCACCAAGACAATGGGTGCTGCCATTATCGCCAAGATGAAAGCGTTGCGTCACTGAGCGGTTGATGGTTGATAGCAGGACTGTTGCAGTGTGCTGTTGAGGAGGTAATGTGTTGACGATCGTGGGAAGCAGTGCTGTGTAGATCGTGCTCTCGTTGGAGTAGGTATTGTTGATTATTGCGGTCTCACTGCAGTAATATACTACAATCGACAGACAAAAGCTTGTTGCGTACTCCAAACTGTGTATGTCAACGGATGTTTCAACTTGCAACAATCGGGTCAAATCACAAACGTTCGATCTAAAACGAAGTGTTGAGTGTAAAACGAGCAAATGGTAATGTGCAGACATGGTAAGATGTATTTCGTTTTTGGTCTGTTGCTGTCTCACTTCTGCAGAAGTAGAGCAAACAACCATTGAAAAGCTCGGTACCCGAATTCCACAGTCACTCCATTGAACCAACGGTCGTACATTACGCTCGTTCCCTGTAATCTGTGTAACTCGTGGAAGACTGGCTATAGCGAGGTGAGCCCGGTTTAGTGAGTTCGATCGAGTATTTATGGGTTAGTGAAGAGCCCATCGACAACAGTGCCTTCTTGTTGTGTCCTCCGTTTCTTATTTTGTGGCCTGAGATGTCGATCACGCAACAATATCAAATGCATACCGAAGACGGCAGACTTCTCATCTAATCGATCTTCCTCTTGCATGGAAAATTGGAAAAGTGTTTTTCAAACAAGCCAGATTGATTAGTAGAGCAATAGGTGCATTGAGTCGAGGTAGCTCGGGTCTTTGTCTGTAACGCCTTATCAAGAGTGAAGCAGTTACTTACCGAAGCATTGCTGGCTCCTGTGTAATATTGACAATGACTACCAGTACATTGTCAGGGTAAAGGATAGAGGAGCAAGCTCTGGAGCTCGTGCTTTGATACTAAGTAATTGCACATACTTAAATGAACTTCTAGGAATTGCATTCCTAATCTCGGGTGGTTGGCGGATCAGGAATATGTTGTGTGTGTGTTGTGTGCTATGGCTACTCATTGATGATGTGGCTGTAAAAAGAGAATGATGAAAGGAAGGGACACGGAGGATCATTCTGCACGAAAACGCAGTAAACGACAAAGTAAGGCAGACGAAAGTCATTGTAGTGAACTCGCAAAGTGGGCTTGGAAAAGTTCGACTATCACCTTGTGCACAGTCATTATGGCTTCATCCTTCGAACTCACAATCGAACGGTAAATTGTTATGTCGTAAGCCGCACCGTATCAGAAGAAATGTTACCCCATAAAGTTACCTCGTTACGAGCTGCTTCAACGTACGGAGATCGTTAACACGCTCTACAAATCGAAACGTACATGACGGATTATACGTAATCCATAATGTATTGCGGGTCCGAAGGGTGAAGTTACTAGTGACTGTGCGCAAGGTGCGTGAATATACAGAGCTTGATTCAGTTCTATGGACTGAACTACTAATATCGAAAATCGAGCTTTAGAGCTTGATCCCCTATCTGATATTGCAGATCGATACGACATAACGACAGCATCGTTGCTATCGATCAAGATCCACGGTAAAGGCAATCCCTGCTATGTAGTACAGGTGCATGAATTGCATTCGAAGATCTAACTACTTGCTACAAAATGTTGTGAGCTCTCGTTTTCATACCAGCACAAGTGACGAATCGAATACTCTATAAGCTGGGACTGTAATCATGATAAACATAACCAAAGTGAAGAACACAAGTGCGAGTGCAACGCATTCTCAGAAAACGGCGATACGTTGACGCGACATTGTTTCAAACTATCGCTCAGCACAGACCAAGAAATATATTGCATAAAAGGAGCGGCACGAAAAATGCTCTGATTCCAGTAAGTACGAGTATTTCACCAAATGGTCCGAGCACAAAAGCGTCCTCGAGGGGACTCGAACCCCCCATCCCCGCCTTCGGAGGGCGATGCCTTATCCATTAGGCCACGCGGACGATACAACTTAAGCTTGTACATGAAATATATTAAATAGCAAAACAAATAATAATTATTGACTGTACGCTAAGGTGATTGCCGAGTTTTTATCGTACTAACCTTGTCTGTCTGTAAATAACGCAGGTGTACCTTACACGTCTTATCAAGTGCGATCTAGCCTGTACCATCTCGTTGGCCGATACAAGTTTTCACTTTTTGGCGAGGTCACTACTATGACGCACGCACGTGATTGGCTAAAAATCGATCAAAGGTCGATTTGATCACATTCTGAAATGCTGGACGCTCATAAACAAAGGCCGATCACGTTGCCCGAGTATTCTGTACAAAATTAGACAGACCTGAACAGCATGCCACTCATTCTTCATTGATAGCTGAAGTACAGTGTTTTGCGTCTTGAAACAGTACCCAAGCTGGATTCAATGTACCAAAGGGCAAGCTCCGGAGCTTGCTCCCCTATTTTACAAAGGATTGTCCTCAACTACGTTCGAGGTCAGTACGTGCCAGCTTGCAAGTTCTTTGTCACGTACTGCCGGTCTCGAACGGAGCTGCGCATAATCTGTGATGTAATGACTAGACCAAATTATATCATCAGATGACGGCGTGACCACTCTCTTGCTTGAGTTTCATCGAAGTTCTTACATTATGGCAGCGAATCTGTGCTTGTCGATGTCGTACATACTTGTAGACTGAGGTGATATCTAGACTAAAGCATGCATGAGTATAAGAGATTGCTCATTACAATCATCGATTCCTCTCTCTTCGTCATGATGTTGTGTCTCTCCTGAACGCTAACGACACTTGCAGCCCATCAATACAGCCTGTGACTCATAGATGTGCCACGCATCACTTCAGTAACCAAATGGGAGTGCTCCAGTAGCGGTATTTCTGATCTTCAGCAATTCGACAACGAGGTGGGTTAAATTAAATGGGAGCTCTGAAGTACTCCTGTATCATTGAAAGATTTGGATGCTCGATAGTTCTACAAGTACAGAATGGAATCCAAGAGAGTTGTTCATAAGGACACGACAAGCGTACGTATTCCGCTTTGCAAGCTATTCATTTGCACGCAATAAATGACGATAGCGTTACATTTAATCGACTCGGAATTTACGCTCGAAAAATTAGTCAACCTGTCGTGGCTAAAGCCTGTGACGAACTAGTGATAAAATCGTCTTAGTGAACGAGCCATAATCGTTGTGCGGTGGGTAGGCACGATCTCATACGCGTACCGGTCCATTCGTATCGATAGAAGCGATAAAGGCAATGCCGGGACGCCGCGAATGCTACGCTGTCCTCATTTAAGGATTGAGGGTCAAGGCATAGGCAAAGACTATCGTAGTGCCGCAGTCATACATATGCTCGAGTTCGGGAAAATGTGACGCAGGCAAAGACCGCATGACTTTCAGTTCGAGTCGCGAATAACCATAAAGTGTCACTTTGCTTACAATGGTTTCACGCCTGATCAGAGAATCGAGAGCCTTCAGAATATACTTTCCTGAGCTCAATTTTTAACATTTTAGTAGCCAGGTACTTCGATTGGGCATGTAAAGGGATGCCTAAAGTCCCCAAACAAGCAGCAACAACGGCGTCAAACGCTGAAGATAAGGACGCTACGGATGCTGTCATCTAACGTTTGCGGTTTGCAATGCTACTTACAACATCACACGCACGACGGAGTACAGAACTTCCACTAATGCATCTTTACACACGAATCGTAGAACAGTTTTTACCGAGTGAAGGCTGACCTTAGATGCACTAATAAGCTTAAAGCGCTTTGATGAAAGGTGACATGACCGAGGATGCCAGTGGCAGAGCCTCACCGAAGTCACCGACATATCCTGACAATGAACGCATTCGATCATTTGTTAGTAAATTCGAGTGCCCCAACACCCGAGGTGGCTGCAATACAGACCTAAATGTACAGTGTTATGAACAAATGGTCGTAACTTCTTCAAGAGTGACAAGACAAGTTTGAGGATGCAAGACGACGCAAAGAGTGGGTCTTGTCGCGGGTAGGCGAACACTAGTACGATCGGGATGAGGAAATACCGAACATGTTATTGCAGTCCATGCACTATGTAGATTCCTTGCGCCAATGCATGTCTAGTACGTTAACATGTCTGGTTCAGGTCAAATTTGACACACTCTGCATCTTGGCAAAGGATGAAAGGTATTTCCGATATGGAGCTGTATTCGAGATCACAGCACTCGCATCAGCCATGACACTGGAGAAGTCCATCACAGAGGTGGAAACCGCTACAGTATGGATGTGCTGGGACTAACTGCAGCATCATCCTTCTCCATCACTTTTGACACATGGTATACTCACCGGTGCTTCGCAAAGCTATATTTACGGCAGGAGCAGTAGCGACCTGCTTGTGGAGCTGAGCAGCAACGACGTCTATAAATTAAACATCCGGGGCTACTGGAGCGATTGTAGCGCGAAGATTGTATGGCTCGATCAAGAGACCGACTACCAAATGCCTGAAGCCTGCATGTCTGGCCTCAGCAAGCAAGCCGCGATAAGCGAGAGCTCGATATGCCGACTCTCCGTATACCAGGCTTCGCTGGAACTTCCGTGCTGGATGTGAGTAAGTCCACAAGCTCGGATTCTTCTGCCATCTCAATCGACATTGACACGTACGAAGATATTTTGCACCGTACTACCATTCCTTGAATCCCTGAGATACCGAAGCAGCGCGTCGGGCAGTACCTCACAAACATGTTGCAGAGAACACGAAGTCAGACACAGCTGAAGTACCGACTGTTTATCCATTACGTGAAAATGGCATATAGCGTAGAGTCCACGAACGACTGTGATGAAGATTCGGACACGTCAATGTATGAATCGGGAGACAAAGAGGAAGTTCATGCGCTTGTCGGTTTTACGTCTGCGCGACCCTTGGGTGACGACAACGTTGAGGAGACAAACGTTCAAGAAATGTTAGACCTTGGCGTTTTCAGCTCCGTCTCCGTCTGCTCACGGGGTAACTCGTACAACTCTAGAGAGCTAGTACACAGAAGAAGCTCATAAACCTTGGCTCAAAACAGGGATTGAAGCAGCTCCGAAGATGTTCATCGACAACTTGTTATTGTAAAACGACATTCCATGCAGTTTTACGCGATTCAATGAAGTTTTGCCGCCAGTATAGGTAGCCGATAAGTCGATACCAGCATGCTTTCGTTCAAACTGCGAGAGCAGTATCTGCACGTCTTTCACTCACTTCTGAGGGGGCACCAGCACCCGATAAGCGTGCACATCCTGGATTGTTTAAGTGCCATGCTTGCGAGTAGGTGGTTGTACGGTGATATCGCACTTCTTGAAAGGTTCACAAAGTCCTCGTTCGACTTGATAATGGTGAAGGTGAATGTAGAGTCTTTGTATTCGTTCTTTTTGCCAGACATCACTTCGATGGTCTCACTTTACGTCTAAAGCTCGTCCGACAGTTTCTAACATCCACCAAGTTATTCCTGTAATTATCCTTTAAGTCAGCCATCGTGGAGTCATCCAGAGCACCGTTCACTTTCGGTGATTCCTTCTTTTTGTAGACTTAGACTTCCTACAAGGTTGAAGAAGCTTTATTGAGGGTGAATGTTTGGTGTTCTGGGTGTTCATAACGTGTTCCCAAACAAAGATATCGAGATTCTGAAGTCAGCTTTTTTCATTCTTGGGCTTGGATCATTTCGTGGTTGTCGAGCCTTTCGGGTGACCCTTAGCTTCGACTTTGAGAGTATCTACAGGCCGGAAGAAGTCACCATCATTATCGAAAGCTTCGCCGCTCGCACAAGGGGGTCGATTCACCAATGCTGGTCTATAACAGCCAGAGATATGTTGTCGACTGCGTTGGCGTCATCTTTCAAAGTGCGAAGCTCATGATCTTGCGATGAAGGTAGTGTTTGCAAGGCAAGCCGTACTTCAATGTGAAGCTTCCTGTATATTCCTCATCGTTATCGTAATCATTCGCAACAGCGAGAAGAAGCTGGTTCTTCAACATTATCAGTGTTGTATGAGAGACTGTGCACTTAGGTACATCAAACTCAGCATTCACAGCGTCGGTTGAACCATCCTAGAATCTGCGGCAACACTAGCTACATGCTCATTTCGCTGACTTCAAATCATGTTGCGAATGTCGAGCACAACATGGTACAGTTGGACTTTGGACCTGAACGAAAGTCGGATCTTTACACCATCATGATCAGACTCCGCGCGAGAAGTTACTACAATTCCAAAGTCAGGAATATATCGGCAGAAGCGATCCTCTCACTCCTCAAAACAACTCAATAGCCGTTCTCAATGTATCGCATCAGCTTTGGGCATGCGGAATAGTCCTTTAGCATAGTCTTCCAGCACTACCAGAACAAATCTCCCGTGTCCCGGAAGATTAGATCATGTCAACGTTACATTAATTTATCCGAGCATTCTCGATCCTAGCTTTATGAGCACTGGTTGACCAATTCTTAACATTTCAAGAAGTCTTAACGGCCTTCTTGTGAACGTTCTGGTTGATGTGCCGAATGCAACGCCACTGTCGAATGCCAGGAAACATTCTATTAGCGCTGACTTTAGGGCATCATCATGATCTGGAACAAGACTTGTGGAAAAACGCCGATATCCTCAAAGAAAGTTCGCATTGCGCACATATGCCAGCCGAAATGGAAGTAGTCCTTCCCGCTCATGAAACCGTACGAGATTTCAAGGTCTTCCGTGCGCCACGTCTCACCGACAACATGCAATAGCAGCGGCATATCAAACTTGTTCACCTTGTATGTTGCATCAATCTGGATGACGTCTGGGTTCTTTTACATCAACTGGAAGCTGTCCAAATGTACGAAGAACAGGTTTCGAACGCGATTTTGAGTGTCAATGTCCACTCTCTACCAGTACTTTGTCGTTGTACCGTCTTCTTCATCTTGCTCAAATTTGTTCAGGAAGTCCAGGAGTACTTTGATAGGTGTTCTACCCGCAAGATCGTTTTGCTGGAGATTTTGAGTCTCATTGTGATCATCTCTGAGCTTGATGTTGACTTCAGCAGCGAGGAGGTCTTCCGGGTATTATTGTGCTGCTTCAACTGTTGTTCGATTCGAGCTCGCGTGTTATCATCGCGCTTGCGGTTCTACGCAAAGGCAAGCCTGCCATTTATTGCCACGCTTGTGGTTGTGATATGGTACAATGACTTTGAATCGCCACCCACATTCTGCTGTAGAATCAACTTTCGCGCGAATGCAGCGGGCCTCCCATTCGCATCCAGTCATCTTGGATGAAATCCGGCGCTTTCCTTTGCTAGTAGCGGTATATTTAAGGCTACAAGCACACCGCAGGGTCAAGGAAGTGATAAGACCTTTTCCTTGGTTCTTCTTCGAAGATTGATTGCGATTGATGTTCTTGATAGAACACGCAAAGCCAGTATCTAGGAATTCAAATTGAAGGCATCTATGACTTCATCATGGTCATCTAAAGTAATGAGACTTGGTGGAGAGTATCGTTCCAAGGTATCCAGCGGGTTGAGGGAATTTTTAGGGTCGAATTCGGACGACATGGCTTCCAGAGGCAACAAATTGTGCCGTACCTGACGGGACAGAATATGTTAAAGGTTGATATCATCGTCGGTGCCATCGTGCATAGTGATGGTGCGATCTATCTCGTCCAAAAGGGTTGTCATTGGCGTGCTCTTCGACACGCTTTGTAAGTACAAGAAATCTTACCATTATGCACCATTGGAATTGCCGCAGGCGGTTCTACAATCAGAAGTTACCATGTAATATTAGACGTGGAGATTAGTGATAGCAGTTGAGTCGCAAGTATGATCACTTTGGAGGTTGCAATCTTGTAGAAAGCGTCTGCTAGAGTCTGGAGTTGGCTCATGGACTAAACACCAATAAACCATGCAACAGAAGGTAAACATAAATCGTGACAAACGCGGGAGCTATCGCGAGTATGCTTCTGTTGGCGACGAGTCTACCAAAACTAACCTGATGAAAAAAATGGTCATTTGACGCTGTAACGCTCGAAATCATGTCGTTACATGATTTCGAGCAACTGTTTCGTCGAACCCGTATACCTGACAGAACGACTTGGTCGAATACAAATGAATCCAGCCGTTTAGCATTTGCCATGATAGTTGAGACAGCAGGGAAGCCTGACAAAATGCACAAAGTCAAACACCTTACTGCCATTTGCTGGACTGTAAATGCCTAGCCCGAGCATCAGGTCTCGGTCACAATCATTGCCGGTTGCTTCATTCGTGGCGGAGATGCTAGACATACCTGTTGTTTTTTCCAGCTACCATGGAGGTAAGAGGAACAAAGATGTTTTAGTGAAGGAGCTTCAGGCGGAGAACACGGTGAAGTAGATGGCGCGACAACGCTTGAACGTCTGTTTATCCAGTATCCTACATCAGGATGGAACTTCTTCCATAATCTCATCGAAGACGGTGAGTGTGCTAAGTCTAAGCTGACCAAAGAGAATATGCAGGAAGAGTTTCAACGTCAGACCGAACGAGATGAGGGAGTCCACTTAACTTTGCCACTCGTCATCAAAAGGTTTATCAGGATGGAATAGAATAACGTCCTGCTCGATGCTCGCTCCCTGCTCGATATGCCCCTGGGTGTTTACCAAATGCTCATCAGGACTTCTGCAATGCTTTCAACGTATTGCTCTCAATGCGACACAGCACCTGATCCATCCTTTCGTTTCGGATATCGAAACAACAAATTTCCTCGATGCAACATTTCGCCATTGGCGATTGCGTTTTGCTACCTACACCGCATCATACTCAACAATCCACATTGTAGGCGGCATGATAGCTTTCATCTTAGAAACTATAGCGCACACGTATCATTTCAACAACCTCGCATGAAAGTGTTAAGAACCTGTTCTACTCATGATAAAAAATTAGCGAAAACTAGAACTACGACACCGTGCAAATAAGAGATGAAGCCTTTGTCGCATCAGGAAGTCCTGCGTCATGTGCAACAATTCAATAAAAAGAGTACCACGAGGACCATCAACCACCTACCACCATATTGGAACAAGCCAGGTAAACAATCATCAACAATATACCAGCAACAAAACCACCGCCGCTGTCTCTGTCGCATCGACCTGCTAACGATCACGTATCTCAGAACGTATGATGCAATCACAAGCTCACAGCATGATAGGAAAACTTGCTAACTCTGCCAGCCAGACAAGTGATCCATCAACCAAGAGTTAGAGCGAGTCAACACAAGACGAATAGACACGTTTTCACACACTCAACAAACCTGTGTGCCTGCACTCGTCGAAACAGTCGATGTCTCAGCCCCACTGTTACCTGTACCCGAAGGCGCAGTTGATTCAATGGTAGAGGAAGTCGTGACGGAAGCATCGCCAGGGGCCCCTGGGGCAGCAGCGGGTGGAGCCTCAGCACTGCCACTGGCGTCAACCTGCTGCTGGTATTGCTGGTAAGCCTCAGCACTAGCTTGCGCTGCGGCACCAGTCACACCCCAAGCGGCATTCGCGGCGTCCACGCCGTAGTACGCTGCGTACTCGTAGTAACCGTTCCAGTACGTATTCGGGTCATTCGGGTCTACTGTAGCTGTCGATGCCGCCGATTGATCTCCTACCGCAGCTGCTTCTGCTGTCAATCCCGCAACTGGTACATCCTGCTGATAATACTGACCCGCCTGACCTTGTTGCTGATAGTACGAAGCGTACTGATCCTGCTGACCCTGCGCTCCGTAACTCGCGTATTGCTGCTGCTGGTCGTAGCCTCCAGACTGTCCGACAAAACCCCTGGATCCACCATAATTGCTATCACTTCCGTACTGCCCACCACCACCGCCATCATACCCGTGACCACCTATTCCTTGCAAGATTACTGCGTCCACTTCCTCCTTTGCACCCGCTAGATTCTGCGGTGGACCTTGAATGGAAATAGTGCGCACAGGTGGATTTGAGCCCGGGTCCGGCACCTGTGGAATCTGAATGCGCACAGCATGGCGGTCCTGAATACCCTTAATCATTTCTCCCCGCTTGCCAATAATGACACCCACACGGTCATTAGGCACCTGCATGTATATAGTTTGGCCCGAAGCCATGCCGAAACTTTGACGCTGTCCTGGCTCCTCATTGACCATGGATTGAATCTCAAACCTCGCGGCCTCTTTCGCCTCCATCGTACCGCGAATTGTAATCAGACGCATTTCGGGATGGTTCGGGTCTGGGGTCTGCGGAATCGTGACGCTTGTACCAGTGCGCTGCTGAATAGCCTTAATCGTGCAGCCACCACGCCCAATAATGAGTCCCACACGCTCGTTCGGAATCAGAATCTCCACCGATTCCGTGCCATCAGGGTTAATGCCACCATAACGTGCCATGCGGTCCCGATCATCACGCTCGCGAAAACCCCCACCGGCACCTTGGCTCTGATGCCGCTCATCAATCAGGTTCTGAACCAGTTGTTGCGCCAAGTTCAGTGCACCTTGAGTACCCGTAATGTTCACAAAACGATCGGGCGTGGGCGGTGCTCCTTCTTCTTCACGAACAATCTGAATGTGCGCACCACTTTTCATCTGCAGATCACGAATGGTCTCCCCACCACGTCCAATAATGTAACCAACGAGATCACGTGGCACCTTCATATCAATCGACGACGAGTCGCCGTCATTGCCAGGCCCGTACTGAGAAGAGTCGTTGCCGGGTACGCCACCCGAGTGACCGTCCCCGTCTCCAGGTCTTGCACCGCTGTAATTATCAATCAACGTGCCGTTGAGTTCTGCCACCTTGCGAAGCTGCTCCTGTTTCAGCTTCATTGCTTGCTGTGGATTGAACAGAATGTCCTCCACTGCACTCTGAGCTTTCGCCAGCGCCTCGTCAGTGTCGGCAGTAATCAGTACGTGAAGTTCCTCGTTCTCGTCCGGGTCCCCCGTCGGGTCTTTGGACGATCCCTGGCCACGGATCAAAATCCGAGCGCCCGTCTCATCTTCCATGCGCTTCTGATTGGACCCACGAGGGCCAATCAGCAGTCCAATAAAGTTGATTTCCGGATACTGATCGACTGGCACATACACTTTTTTGCGCTTCTTATCACCTAGTCCAGGCGCCGGTCGTGCACCGCTGTCTACTGCATCAGCAAATGTTTACACACCACACAGTTGCAAGTACATTAATCACACAACAACAACAACAAAGACAGGGGGTACACCCAGTCCACACTACACGCCACAAACACATCCACCAATGCACAACCACAGCCAAAACCGGTAAACATACCGTCACCCTAATCACCGACCAAAATACCGATAAAAATACCGTCACATCAAACCCACCGTCAGTATAAATTACCGACCCACCAGTCATGGCGCAGCATCACTGACTGACGTACCTCCCAACGGCTTTTGCGCTTGCCTAGAGCGTCACCACCTGGAATTGCAGCAGCCGCTAGACGTGCTGCGATCTCGCGAGCTCGAGCCACTGGGTCTGCCATTGCCTGTCGTCAGTGAGAGCGTAAGAGAGAGAGAGAGAGAGAGAGAGAGAGGGGAGTCGAGGCGTCACTCGTTGGCCGTGGTCAACCGGTAGTTAGGAGCGTATTTTTGATTGGGGGGAGGGTAAATATATTTGACTGGGTGTCGATTAACCACCAATCCGGTAGCATGTTCGATCCCTCCCTCCGATTCGTTTAAATTCAGAGCTCTTTCAGCCAATCGTTGCCATTCGATCCCCAACCCCTCGTTGATCGATCAATATCCACCAATCAGAAGCTGGAATCGACCACGCCGTCCACTTGGAGAGCTAGTCGAGGACCTGTGAGCGTTAGCGCCCCATCTGCATGGCTTCGGCATCGCGCGTGCCGCTTCTAGTCAAGAGCAAGGGTCGCAAAACACCCCGAGGGTCGATAGCGCCACGGACGAAGCCTTCTAGTGGTGCGTTTGCGCTTCTATTCTGGTCACGGATGAGTTTACTCTCATAATTAATATCTTATCCTGTACATACCGCTTATAGGTCCTCGCGCGAGCCGGGTCGCACCTTTGGACAATGACAAGCTTCCAGATGGTAAAGATAAAGTTCTGGAGGTTATTGAGGTGCGAGTTCAAGTGCTGTTGGCTTCTTACAAGTTGAGAAAAATGGTGTAAAGATCTGGATCCTAATTCAATGCTGTTGTGCTCTTTGTAGACTGGAGTTGATGCTAAAAATCGTCTTAGTAGACGACAGAAGGAGGTGAAAAGTGCAAGCGCAGAGGAGTCGGTTCAAGTGACGATTACGGAGGAGCAAGGAGCAGATTTGAAGTCTGTAGGTTCTGTGGAATCCGTGACGGTATCAAGTACAGTGGTGAAGTCGTCGAAAGTAGTTGGGGAGTCTGCTGCAGCTAAGAATATACCCGCCTTCGAGGGGGCATCAAGGTCACCTGCTGTGCAGCCACGACGAGCTGGAGAGATTTCGGTCGGTGACTCGTTGTCTGCGGCACTGCCGTCCAGTACAGCGTCATCGAGCCCTCAGAAACAGCAGATATCTGTTGCGCGCCCGCCTTCCGTGCTGCCAGTGCATCGCCGTGATGACAGGCTTGCAAAGATCACGTCAGCCGGACCGGTATATCGAGAAAGTCCCGTGATGCGCCCACGTGCTGGTAGTATTGGAATGCCGCCGACGAGGCGTTCACGTGATGTGAGTATTGGCAGATCTCCATCAGAGGAACCGCAACATTCATTGACACAGAGACTTGTCCGGAAGCTGGAAGTGAAGCCGCACCAGTCGCCTCGTCGTTCTGCCATGCAGAAAGAAAGTCTACGCACAATAGATGAACCTACGTCGCCACTGACGCTTGGAAGTAAAACGTTGGGGGAAGTTCCTGATCTGGACCTCGATGAACAGCAGTCGCAAGATGTGCCAACTACGAAGACCACTCGCGCGCGGGCGGTATCTGCTAAGAAAAGATCGGGAAAGCGGCGTCACGTCGGTAAAACTGCACCCGCACAGATCGGCGCTAACGCTAGCGTACCCCGACGTCGACCATTGGGGCGAAAAGCCAAGCGTTCGACTTGCCGTAAGACAGATGGTAGTAGCAGTTCGGAAAATGAGTTGGATGATGATCGGGATGAAGATGTAAATCCAAGTGACTTCGATCTCCCGGAGGAGGCGACAAAGGTATCGATCAATCTGCACTCTCCCAACGCAACGGATTTGTTTTCTTATCTCGTTCGTGTGTTGGTTTTCGCAGATCTACGTACCTGCACGAGAGCGGGCGACAATGTGGGCCAAATCCATTCTAAGCAATGACGAGGAAGACAAGGATGGGTACGATTTGGAGGAGGCTGATCCCTCGCGAGCGATAGTACTGCGAGCGAAGAAATCAGGACGTAAACTACCTAGCAAGCCAAAAGCGTCGTCAGTGTCATCGGGTTTGACAGGAATCGGGAGCAGTATGATTTCACGTTATAAGATGGAGGAGCTCATGAAGAAAGAGCCATCTGAAATGACCATGGGCGAGTTGGCCCTCACAGTACCCAAGGGTAAGCGGATAAAGCTCCATGAGCGTGAAGAAGCTGCGGTAGACACAAGTCTACCTGGAGGTTTACCTGGAAGGGAATCGTCGAATTTACTCAATTTGGATGCGCTCAATCGCGTACGTTCATTGTCCGTGTCGTCCGAGGCTGCTGCTTTCGCAGGCTCACTCGTGACACCGCGAGTTCGTATCGTTGATGGAGAAATGGTTGTGCTGGAGAATACAATAAAATTGGGTGACGAGCTGCAGCGCACGGTGGATTCTCTTGGCGAAGAGAGTGTAGGCGGAGGAACGTCAGGATTGCCGCCTCGGCACTCGGGTTCACGCTATACCACTACGTGTTCGGAAGGCCCAGGCAGGCGCTGGGGCAAGGAAGAGACGAAACAGTTTTACTATTGTCTAAGCCAGGTTGGTCCCAACTTTTCGATGATGGCAACGCTGTTTCCAACACGGAAGCGCAAAGAGCTGAAGAGCAAGTTCAAATCCGAGGAGAAGAACCATGCCAAATTGATCGACATTGCGTTGCGTGCGTCCACAGCCCCTCTTGATTCGGAGATGGTGGACGTTATATCTCAAATGGTCGACAGGGAAGCGCAGCAGAAACAAGGAGCTCTAAAGAAGAAGCGAAAGTCGTCATTGCAGCTCAATAGTGGACAGGGCTCCGACACAGCGTCTGTGTCGACTCCGATGACGATATCGCCAATGTCGACACCTCAGGGAGACACGGAGGAGTTTGTCGAGACACTGAACGATGAAGATCTCTTCCCGCTAAACCGCCATGGCTCGTTCGACTTCAGTGGGTGACAGAGCGGTGCGATTTTTGTGGGCTCTCCCCTGCTTACACTGACTGGCTACACCTTGTTCGTGTGAGCGAGTACAAGCGAGGACAACAGCGAGACGGAAGGAGGTAACTAGAAACTGTAAAAAGACAACCGAACAGTGTTTGTTGATGCACCCAAGCAATACAGCCACACCACAGCCTTGCTAGCAAGCACATTTTGTTTACTAGAGCATGGCTGCAATAGCCACAGCAACGAGAGTAGCACTAGCAGCAAAAAGAGAGCGAGATGCTCCACTGCTTCCGCTCCCGGCAGCATCCGTACTCTGGCTAGGAGTGCCATCCTCAACCTCATCATCAGTACTGCCATCGTCATTGGTGCTGTTGGCATCACCTATCACCAGATCATCCGGAGATGAGACCGTCCCCACACCCGAAGCTTCTGTCGAAGAGACGTCGTTCACTGCATCGTCATCGGCCAGCGGATCATCGTCCGTCACGTCGTCCGTCGAACTGGCAGCAGTACTCTCCGCAATGCTGTCAGTTTGCCAAGCAGCTCCGTCTTCATTGCCCGCAACGACGCTGTCTCCAAGCGTGTCAGTTTGCCAAGCCGCTCCGTCTTCATTGCCTGCAACAACACTTTCGCCGAGCGTCTGTGGCCTGATACAAGGGAACGCCAGAGCTATTAAGACGATGAGGAAGGTCAGTGTGAACCTCATGGTCTTTTGGAAAGTGACCGGTAGAGAGACTCGGAACTTGTCCAGCGTGAACAAGCGCAGGGCGGAGAGGCTGACGACATACAAAGAGCCAGTGCAAAGTCGTTACATTGTGAAAAACGAAGTCTCTGGACGCACGTGGCTGAAACTGACGCGCAGAAACGTGGTGATCAGAAATAGATTGAGCTATTTATTGGCACGATGCGGTGACTGAACTGCAAGTACTTAGCGAGCATCAAGTGATCTACTCGTAACATGTCCACTTGCTGGACTCATTTTGACGCTTCGTGGCGCCCTCTCGCTATTTGTGATCCATACGTGGGTACACAGAGTGTTACAGATGTTGCGCTCTCGTTGGTAGAAGATAGGTACGAGCTGAAACGATTTACAGGACATGGCTGTCTGACAATAACATGCACGAAGTTAAAGGTCCTTGAACTCACGGTCAAGGGAGATGTTGACGATAGTCCAGCTTTAGGTTCTGAAAGGCAGGACGAAGAGCCTGCGATGTAAAGTCGACTCGATTCAGTGCGTTATCGGGAATTCATTCCGAATGCAAGTAAAGCGAAGTATCTCATCAATGCTCCTATTCTGAAATGCCGATTCCGGCGGTCGTCATTATCCTGAGCCTAGTGCTGGAAGGTAATGTATCGGCTTGGTGCCCGGTGAACATACATCGGACTACTGTCACAGGTCTACAGTCTAATCTAGGAGGTTGTACTAGGCGGCCACGTTGAGCGACCACTGTCAGCGAGGGTTTGACAGCGTACGATACTTTGCAATTAAACCAACAACCCGTCATTCCTCAAACCAGAATAGACGCTTATCCATACAAGTAGTGGTATGAGTCTTCTGAACTATTGTTCACCAGGGGTTAGCCAAGCCGTGTTAGAAATATAAGTGGTTCCGGACGAAAGGATGGCAATACTGCTGTCTATCATGCCTTTGTCAGCTTCACTTTTATAAATCAAAGCAATCGTTGAGGTCTTGCACGAACGTCTTAAGTTTCGCGGAAGTTCGATCTCGTAGACATGTCGTGCAGACTGGATACGATGTTAATATGGAGTGGGTACCAGTCGAGAACGAGAACATGACGAGGTCAGTCTTACGAGCATGTCGCATCGTTCACGTAGGGCTTTTCACCTGTAACTCCTTGACGCGCCAAGTAGCAAAATGAACGATCCAAGCAAGGTTTCACGGAGTGCAACTTCCATACTAGACAGTTTCGCGAAACTGCACTGGAAGCTGGTACATACGCAACTGGTACGCATGGCTAGCACGATATCTTCAACTATGGCGGTGCGAGCTCTTGAGTTCGACGTACATGCCACAGCTGCACATCACCGGTCTTGAACAAAATGACTGGGAGGTTAAGGTCATCGGAAGAACGTGCGTCACTAGGAAAATGATAATCCGACCTCCTTGTAACATACACGTGCTCTCGATACCAGCAAAATCCGTTCATTTGCAAAGTTTACTGCCACAAGCGCACATATTTCCGCTTCCTTTGTACAACACTTGCGCAACATCGTCAAACTGCCTTCTTCTTGCTGCTGCTACTGTTACTGGTGAGCTCGTTTGCCGTATCAAGCTCGTGCTCAGTGCCACAACCCGCGTCCCTATCCTTGGCTTTCTTCTTCATCATCGCCGGAATGAGCATCCCCAGTGCAAGCAATACCAGCACCCCCATTGTACGAGGATCCATGAGATCCCTCGTACTACGTAGTGAACTCAACATGGCACCAGCATTGACTGTAATGAAGTTGTACGGTAGCAGTCCCAATGCTACCGATGGAGCAAACAGCTGCAACGGCACCTGAAGCCACGAGCTCGCCATGTTCAGAAACCAGTTGGGCGTGAATGGAAACACGCGCAGAAACAGCAGCACGAACGGCAATTGTCCTTGGGTTCGTGCCTCGTCGATCTTTCGTCTCAATTTGAGCAACTGACCCGGTAGCAGCCGTTCACTCAAACTCTGAACAATTTCTTCCGAAGCCAAATTCTTGGACAACAAATAGCAGCACGAGGCTCCGCACGTCGTTAACGTGCACACAAGTGGAAAGGCCAGTGATACCGGCAGCACAGCACCGGCAAATACATTTAGTAAAGCCGATCCGGGAATCGCAAAGGTCTAGTTAGTGTTACAAGCACACCCAAACAACCCGTGAGTATCAGTTTCAGCAAAAAAAAACACACACACATGGTTTGATTGTTTTAACAACGTTTAAACGTACCTGTTTTAACACGTAGATGCACGTAAAACAGAACAGAGCCAGTGGAAACTCGACGTGAAACACGTGCTGAAACGTTTCGTGCGAGCGCTGGAGCTCTTGGAGCGACGAAAAACTCGATACAGAGAGCAAGTCTAAAGTGGATGTCGGGAGCAAACGAGCGGCATCGTGCGCTCGGACGCGACGCACGAGGAGGATGCAAAGACACAGAATGACAGCTATAGAAATAGTGAAGATCAGAGCAAGTTTAGAAACGAGGACGAGCAAGGCGCGGCTGCCGTTGGCGTGAGGACAAGAAGCAGCAGGTGCCATAAGAGCTGGCTAGCCACGAACGTTATTACTGACAAGGTGGTGTGTTTTTACGGGTTTAAAAGGCAGGAGCGACGAGCAGGGAGGAGAAGAAAAAAGCAGCAAAGAAACGCTTTTTTCTAAATGGTTGAGGCGCTGATGCGTTGCATTTTCGTGGTGGCATGTTTTATAATTTTGAGGTTATTAGATCGTTTTCGAACAAGATATACCCATTTTTTGCACTCGAGCAACATTTGGCCATGGATCTTTATGACGGCGTGCCAAGCCGGGATAAAATCCATGATACATTTTTCATGCCTATTGTGTCGAGAGCCCATTTACAACCACATCGGAATGTCGTCGATGACAAGAATCATTTTTTGTATCGTAAGCGATCACACATGAGTATTTGGTACGCGGGCACGCAAAGATATTGTAGAAGAACAAAAGTCGGCAGCCAAACTATATAAAGATGTGTCGTACAGCTCTTAAATATACTCAGGCGATTGCATCTTCACCAGTGAAGCTCAGTACATAGCAACACGTTAAGGGAAATCCCAGTGCCTGTGATCGTTAATCTTGTAAATAGCAGTATCGTCGTGGTAGACACGGCAAGCAGGTCAATTTCAGTCTCTGCCTCTTCGATCAATGTAAACATGTACAGGTGGCTGTCTAGGTACATGCCGCAGCGAGAAAAGTATGTCGAGAAGGTTCATTCGTCTTCGCATGTACATGATCATCAATCCCGACCTTAGCAGGTTTTACATTGCTGCCTGTCGCAGACACTAAGCTCAGAGCAAAAAAATCTTGCTTGCTGATTTCAAATATAGTCTAGCATGAGGCAGAGCTACATTAGCGCTCTAACAGTCTTTTTTAGTAGAAATATTCATTGGCAACAGTATGGTGACTAGCACCAAAGACTATCTCGTTCAGCTCGAACATCGACTTGTAATGGTCATAATCTGGCGAGTGAAGACGCAATTATCGCCGTCTGCGTTTGACCGCTTCGTATGTCAGTACTTTATCATACGCTTTCCAATAGTCATTTTTTTTATTCTGCTTGATACGTGCAAAAATATAGACTGGCTTTCATGACAATACCTCACTTCAGCTATGTTACCGTTCACAGCATTATGCGAACTTGGAAATGGCTCGCGAGGCTCGCTAGACTACTGATCTCGTTTGTGCGTGAGACGTATTCCATAGAAGCATGCTTTACATCGATCGAATAAACAGAGCTGATAAACGTAGGCGTTGGGTTGCATAGGCGACATCCGCTCTGATCGTTGAACTGGGTCTAGCTGGTATAACTACACAGCTTATAAAATCGAAACGCTACCTTCATCTCGTCAGGCTCTAGCCTGGTAGTATTCCGTTTTAGCTGTTGTAGCTGTCCTGCCGTGCACGATGCCAGATTTGCTGTCAGTCTGATCAAACGTGAAAAACATGGTACGAAAAGCTGATAAGGCGGACGATAGCTATGCTCACGCAACATACCAAAAAGAGTTGCTCTCTGATATTCAAAAAGTGTTACTTCAAAACTAAACGTTGTGCGCATACATCCTGACAATGTTAGTACAGCTGCATCCCGCGTGTCGTTTCGTGAGCATTTTTCATGCGTGAGACATGGCATCGAAGATTAGTTCACTCGACAAAACATCACCATTGTTTTACACATTCTTTATCATCACCACCTTTGAAAACGGTCTAAGATAGAGGAGGAGCTCTGGAGCTCGCTAGAAGTAATCCAGTTCGGATGGAGCTCGCTATAAGTAATCCAGTTCGGAGACTTGAATCAAGATGCAACATACCATACAATAGCAGTCACTGAAGAATGAGTACAATGCTGTTGATGTCTGTATCAACACAGTACAGCAGGCCATGGCAACGCGATCGGTCCCTGCTTATGAGCGTCCAGCATTTGCTTACGTGGTCATCTTCAGCTATAATCAATGTTAAGCCAAAGAGTGACTTCGGATATACCAATACATACGTGAAGACAGGCTAGCTCGCACTAATTACGGATAAGGTGCATCCACCAGCGTTATTTACAGACAGACACACAGTACGATTTAAAAGTTCAGCATTCAACCTTGCGCACACTCACTACTAGCTTCACTCTTCGGGCTCGCAATCGGTCTTTCTGTTTCTCAGTGTCACCGACTCAAAGCAAATTTGATACATTCGCATGCAGTGTAAGAACTGGATGTGTACCAGAGTCAATGACAAAGTTTCGGAGAGTAGAATCGAAACAAAACGATGGACCGAAAGGCAACACGACAATTGCTTAATTTCCGTGTTCGTATCAATTCTTTACCCATGTCTCGGATTTGCTGTGATCTAGGCTTACAAATGCCAGCTAAAGTCTCTACCTGAGAACAACAACAACGAACTGTAATGTACGATGAACAATGAGATAGTGATGTTATACAAGCATGTGAGCCGTAACTATTTGAGACTTTGCAGCCTCCGATAGTGCATAGTGGCGGAGATGAAAGGTGCGAATGCGCTACTGCACAAAGTTGCTCGAGGGCAGTTTACTTGACGGCCACCCAAGCCGCTAACAATCAGGACCTTACATCAAGCACCGATGGCCAATCACGCTACATAGCAACCATGCTATGTGGTATGTGGTCATGCATTTGCATTGTTGTATGCATATCATTCAGCAAGTAGATAGAACACAAGCTGTACAACTAAATCGCACCAATTTGCACAGGGCGAAACGTAGCACTGGCAGTACAGGGCATTTTCACAGTATGCAAAATCTACAATTCTTTTGAACAGCTAGTATTCTCAACACAAAGTCCACATTCGTCTTTGTACAGTGCTCCTCCTTCAATTATGATCCATGGTCAGTGACCCATTTGGCGTCTACCGAGCTCGATCTGTGGCCGCTCTGTTACAAGTACAAAGCACAAGGGCAATCAGATTGTTTTGATGGAGATGTTCTCAAAATTGGCTCGTAGCAGCGTAAACAGAAATTATAAAAACAATACTTTTGTCGATGATAAAATGTTGATCGGGAGGGAAGATTACTCATGTTACAAGCCAAGGGATTCAACCTCTTCACAATCGATCGCTTTCTGCAGATGGTAGCGGTGGCATTGCTGCATATATGAAACGAAATTGTTGGGCATACATCACCAGGGTCTAGGTCGTTTCCTAGTCGGAGGGAGGATGAAACTTAACATTCGTTTTGTGCCAGGGACGTGCGTCGATGTCGTTCATCACTATCTAGGCCATCGAATTCCTTGGTCCGTTCTACTGATGCATCCATCCACCAGCATCTTAATGTCGCTCATTACACGGCTTCATCTTACAACTTGGTTTTGTGCGGTCTCTTCTAGTTCGGTACCCGCACCCTTAGCGATTTTGCGGTGTCATATCGTAGCGTCCACTGTTTCCTGATCCATGAGCATGTTCATTGGTCGTCTGAGGGATAAACTCCTCCTATCCAGTCGGACCTGCGAGATGCGTTCCGTGTCCATCGCCGTATGAGCAATCACTCCGCCGTGATGATGTTCTCCCGTCAGTGATGAGACCATGCGGTCACTGATAGCCGACCTTCCTTTTGACTGCATCTCCAGTGTCTTGGCATCCAACGCCAGCACAAGTGGGGGCGGCTTTTTGTTGGATCATCTACCCGACTTACGGCCCATGCACTGCAGAGCTTCCATGTAACGTGCAAACTGCTAGGTCTAGGCAAAGCCACAGGTTTTTAGCTAGCTTCATTGATCGTAACTATCGCCGCGTCAGACATAGAGACGACCCGCACAACCTGGTGCGGAAGCACGTCGGACACTACTTTTGCCCCACTGGAGTGGACCTTGATATTGGCAGGATTCAGGTCATCCATGATGTGCGACGAGGGTTGTCATGTATACTGAGACACTGTCCGTCTACAGCATGACTACGCTCCACAAAAATGGAGCCTCGTGAAACAGAATAACTAATCTGCCCCACGTCGCTAGACACAACTCAACATAACCAGGAGCTTGCAGGCAAAGGGAGAGCAGTAATTCGGGTTGGTTTTCGGTCTATTTTTTCTAGCTTGGTGGAATAACGATGCTTCCTTTGTCTCCACGGTCCGCTATCGATCAAATTCGGATGAATGCTGATTCACATAGGCACAACTTACCGATGACTTGTCACGACGAGAGGTTGTTGAAACGTGCGTCAACTGGACCCTTGTTCATTAAAGGGAGCCACTCTGCTCGCTTGCAACGAAACAAACGAAAGCTTGCATCATGCTCACTTGCACACTTTGTCATACATCGATTGATTACAGCGCGTCACAATGGTTTAGAAATGATAGCTGCAGTAGATAGCACTCTCTTGAATCAGCCTAGTACGATCATCATCGCCTTGCACTCTTGAAAGCTGCGTATCCACCTCTGTGGCAGCATAGAAATTACCGCAATTATGCTCGTGCAAGGCGGACAGTGCACAGATGCTGGTCACTCCAATTTCTCCAGCTTTAGTTTTTTTATCACGAGCACAGATTAGACAGTATCAAAGTGAGTTCTACACTTGATTCACCACCGAATTTAGAGCATGACCGCGACGGTCCCTCGTGCAGGTCCGACATTGACGTATTCTCCAGCGGAATTTTGCAGAATACCAATGCCTTTACATAAGAATAATCTAGCTTCGCACCGTCTAGTATCTAATTAACAAAGACTAATAGAGATGGACCAAATGAAGATCGTGATTAGTGAGGCCGGCGACAAAGTGGCGGGTGCAGCCAGCGATGCCAGCAAAAAACTGACGAGTCTAACGGGTGACAAAAAAACGGCTTTTTGGCCCGAAACGGCACCGAGCCAATTGTCAGCGGACTCGATTTATCAAAGCACATGTCCCAGTCTCACAAAGAAACAGCGACTGACTGGCTTTGTGTCGTGCTTTGTGCTCGGATATCTCGTGAACTTTGGGGTATTCTTATTGATGATTGATATCATTGTTGAGAGAGATCGAGAGGGCGACTAACGGATATGAGGGGGATGGCCACGTTTTATTGCTTTTTGCTATTGTTTTATTGCTCTTTGCTTTTTGCTATTGTTTTTATTGCTTTTTTGCTTATCATTGTTTTAATGTGTTGGTAGTCGACGTTTGCTTTGGTTTTGAGCTCCAATAATGGCGCCAAGTTCGGCGTGACATACACGCTGGGCAATATCATTTCGCTCTGCGGGTAATGACGCTTCGTTGAAGGTGGACTTTATTTCATGCTTGCTAATGTTCGGTACCCTTTTTTATGGTAACCAGTTCGGGGTTCCTTGTAGGCCCAACGCAGCAGGTGAAGCTCATGCTCAAGCCCATCCGTCGAATCGCGACAATTATTTATCTAGCGATGATCGCAGTGGTGGTTATCGTGGCCGTTGCGGTACGGTAGATGGTACAACTTGCTTGGGTACGGGAAGACATTAATGTTGTACTTATTGTGCTCTCCAGGCACCGCAGTTAGGACTGGTGGTGCTTTTACTAGTATTCATCCAGTGTCTGGCAGCTCTCTGGTACGAACGTCAACGGATGCTTCGTACTGGAATATTTGACTAAATAAATATGTGAACATCGGATGCAGGTATTCGACCAGCTACATTCCGTACGGACGCAAGGTCCTTACAGGTATCGCGAATAAGCTGTGCGGCGCAGCTGCTTGAGGCAACATCACACACGGTTGTTCGACGACTTGTAGCACCATAGCAGGCCTCAAACGTGCTTGTCTGCACGTTTACGATCGATGCAGCAAATACTCAGTCCATAAGTTTTCGTCATTTTTCAGCTCTCAGTCACTCATGTCATGCAGGCACGTGCACGATACCATACGGCGTGCACGATATCTGTAATCCTACAACGTCAAGTCCGTACCTGTCATTACTATCATCTTAGGCCCATTTTAGAAGCCCAAAAGCTAAAGCCATACGAAAGACACTAAGGTGGTCAGGATGTGTCTATAAACGACCAAGAGCATTTCCTCAACAGTGCGCACTTTTGGACCAAACGTTGCACCAGATCAATGGACACAGGGGATGGTGACGCAGTACTGTCCAGACTCACTAGATGGGCACTATTGGTATAGACATGGAGTTGGTGTGAAGAGATACGACTCCAATGGTCACGAAAAAAAGACACATGAGGTGCAAAGCCGTGAGGATCCGCGCGAAAGAGAAATCGAGATGGTTGCGATTGTTGGACAAGACGGAAAGTGTACGCGTTCCCGTTTTCGGGCCTATCCATGAGCGTGACGGTACCGTTCGACGTAATATCAGGAGAATCAACTTGCGAGAGCGTGGGTACAACTATCTCCGGTTGTTAACACCGAGTTGGTGTTGAAGGGCAGGATTACCATGATCTTTCCATGAAGATGTGCTACTGGAGGAGGAAGACTCTATTGACGTAGTTGCGGTGAAAACGCGTGCAGATGACGATAAGCGTGGATACCTAGGTATGTCGATTTCTTTGCTGGACAAGATGCCCAAAGTACCACATAGTAATACAGTGGCGCCACCGAAGAGCTTCATGACCTACGACGAGTAATTACTTTATGCCAGTCGTGACGAAGATGACTTTCTCAAAGATACTGCATCAGGTCTTACCAGTCGGAGTTCATCTGTCTCGACGTCGTAGGACCTGAAAACCCAAGACTACAATACTAATCCGGCGTATGAGCGCGTGTATACGACGGTCGACCACAAATCGTCCCAGGTGGAGTCGGGCTGACTGTTGAGATGTCGCGGCTTAGGAGCTGTAGTATAGATCGGTACGACCGATGTGCGACGCCTTGACTTGACGATCTCGTGCTCTTCGAGAAGAAGGAAGTGGTCGTGTATAAGGATGACAAAAGGAAGCACAAAGTTGGTAAGGGTCTGAACAAAGTTGCTGTCGTCGAGCTCCTGGGGTACTTTTACTCCTCGCAAGTCGACCTCTCTCGAAAAGTACGAAGAGCGCGCGAAGCAGTACGGAAAGATCCATGTGTCATCTTCCTCGACTACTCCACCGACAAGTGAATCTAACGGTTTCGATTTGAACACTTAAGCCGAGACGCTTTTGTAGATGATGACGACGACAAGGATGATGATGACAATCTCGGTGTGGGCAATTACATTGGAGGAACCGGTGCATACGATGGAGCGATAGGTACACACAACAAGGAATTTCACGCCACCCACAGAATGATCACGAAAGACGTGTTTAACGCGCGGTCATGTGGTGCGTCGAATGTCTTTTATCGCAGCCGACGGTTTCGCCAGTCACATATCCATATCGGTGACGTGAACTGCGAAACTGTCGTCGCGTCATTTTGGAGAACATCTGACGTGGAAGGAGGGGCAACTTGAATAGTGTTGTAGCCGTGACGGAAGGTGAGAAGAGCTTTGAATTTGCCTGGGAGTTAGCTACCCTTTGCGTCCAACGCTTGGCAACGCAAAGCCATAGGACAATCACAACAACGATGTGTAAACATCAAGAGAGTGCAATGGAGATTGATTTCAAATAAAGAGAAGATCGCGTTACTTGCAGCCATCTCGCGCGTCATTACGTCCGTTTTGGCCATCCTGCTATTTGTTGTGCTGAAATATACACGAGCAATCTCTTTTATATCATGTAGCTGTATACCGGCATGAGACGCTGAACGTTTCCTCAGGTTGCCTAAATCATATTCGTGCTAGTTATTGGTTTACCTAAGGTTCAAAACAAAGAGCTATAGCACGAGGGTGCAATGTTTTTTGATAGCAGCGTGGTCATGCTCGTCCGGTATCTTCACTCTGTAGCTACCTTCAGCTTTCTTGACTTAGCTTTCCATTGGAATCCTTTTCCACGGATGCGTGTTTCTCGTTCGGACTTTGCCAATGCATCGTGAGTTGTCTTCTTAGCGCATTCGCAGTAGAGCAATCGTATTTTCGTGAACTAGTTTTGTCCACAGACTGCAATCCCCTTCCTTCTTGTCCGCTTTCTTCTCATACTTGATCGTGGGCCGTTCCGAATGGCTTATCTCGTCAACGAGCCCTGTGCTCCCGTTACCGGTAAGTGTGTTCGTTATCAATCGATAAACAATCGGGAAGGAGCCGACGAAAACTCGTTGAATCAAACTGCGGATTGATCCCCAGTACCGACGACTGTCTGATCGTCGCTGTTGTCGTTGTCGTTATTCTACGATGTCGCTATTGTTATGTTCTCCGTGGTGATGTTACCTTGTTCGTCATTGTTGTCCGCGTGACCTCGTTTGTCGTGATCGTAGACGTCTTTGTGTTCACCGTTGTAGTCCACATTATCATCTGCGTCGCTGTCCGAACTTCGATTTGGCATCGCAAATCCTTCAGAACAACACCCACATTTTTACTCTGCGTGCACATCCACGTCTTCGTCTTAAACATTCCCATACCTGAGAGTATGACTAAGTCCTTTCCTTATCTCTTGAGCATATTGCCGCTCAGCGAAATGACCTCACGACAAGATGGCAGGCTCATCCTACAGCGTATATCAAAACAGGATGTCCTGATAAATAACATTTAAACAAAACGTGAGTTTTGGAATTGTCGCAATGATTACAAGATTGACAAAGGTCCGTGCGAGACGATAGAATAATAATGGTGGGATTGCACTGGCCACGATGGCTCCGAGTAGTTTATGTCGGACTCCATTACAGCTAAAGACCGCTGTCGGGACCCAATATGCGGAGAGTGAAGCAGAGAGAATTTTGGATCCGACATGCATTTTAAACACTGCCTTCAAAATCGTTTTTGACTGTGTTCAATCGATGTGCACAATACACCAAACACCAAAAAGGAACGAAAACACTACTACTCTTCGTGTATTAGCTGCTAACGGTATCTGCTAGCTAGTCATTCAGTATCTGCTGTCAAGGCATTACCTACCATGACCCGACGCGATGGAGCGACCCTACTACTTGGTTCTTTTTATTTTTGTACTTTCGCCCGATCCTATGCAAAGCAGGGCGCGAAAGAAGAGTTTTAGGGATGTACCAAAACTATTCTTAGTCGGTAGCTCCCTGTACCCCCTTTCCTCTCCCAGATCGCTCTGACCGCGTTTCTCGTCGGTTCGTAGACTTCGGCCTTCACTCGTACGAAGGGACGGAGCAATTGCTGCGGGTGTCTTGTTCTCGAAAGCGCTCGCGCCGACGTTCGTGGTCGTGGATACGGCAGATCCACTCGCGTGAAGAGATGCCGCAACAATAGCCACGTAGACGCTGGTGATGCGCATGTCTTTTGTGGTTGTAGAGGAGATTTCCAGGAGTCGTGAATGATCCGCGAGGTACGTAGCAAATTCTGGAATGAAGTCGAGAATGAAATGAGATCGGACCTTACAGCCGAAAGCTCGAGACCAATGATGCTCTTGTCTTCTCCTCTCCTTTCAGTACATATCCATTGACATCGATGCGCTTTCTGAATTCCCAGGTCAAAGGTACCTCTGAATCATGTTCTGGACTGCATGTGCGACATAGACACGAAGCTTGACTGGTGTTTAGTATGCCATTTCAGAAAGGCTCATAACGTATCTGATCCTACACGTCGTGTGCTGATCTTCGGACCTTCGAAAATCGGAAACCCAAATTTTTACATCGATGTTTTCGTGAACTACCTCTGTGCAGCTGCCTTCCCTTCTTTCGACTTGTCATTCGCAGTTACGTAGCATCCACTAAAGGTAGACGAGTATGGAGAAGGTGCACTCGAAGCCGTGCCTCGTTTCCGCTGTATAAATGCTTCTGGCAATGGTTTGTAGGTCTGTTTCCTAGAAAATTCAGTGCTGACACCGCCTCCGTACATTTCCATCTGGACCATCTTCGTAAGCAGCCATTAAGATGTTGCTGCTTATAGCAAGCATCGAGCCCTCGTCTGGCAATCCGCTCTCTGACGCGAGCAAAACGAGCCGTTCGAGTCATTGCGTGGACTCCTTAAGGGGAGGTGACGTCACTCCAATTGGCAATATGGTAGTAAATGGAGTCGTCTGTGTACATAGATCATCAGTATAACGTAGATGAACCTGGTGGTTGCAGAGCCACTTGGCAGAAAATTGAGATAATATGATCAGCCCTACGGAACGAAGAAAGATACAATAAAGAGCTACGATCGGTAGCGCTTTCGTTAAATGGCTGACGATGTCGTGACAGGAAGTCCATGATCTCAATCTTAGGCCACATGAAAAGCTCTTCTCCTTTTTTTGCGGACGAGTGTACCACCTTTTTTTTACAGAGTGGCTCGAGAGCTGGCGGTAAGTCAAGTTTCTTGAACGGCAGTATGGGACTACCTCACACGAATTGAACAATGTCTGGGTATCCAACTGAAAAAGAGAGCCAAATGAAGATGTCTAGTTGTTGCGAACCCGAAGGGTGAAGCTTTTAGTGAGTGTGCGCAAGGTTGAATGCTGAACTCTTAAATTGTACTCATTTGTCCGTGTCTGTGTGTCGGGAAATAACGCGGTGAGGTGTACCCTATCCGTACTAAGTGCGATCTAGCCTGTCCCCCCTAATAGGCATAGAGGCATATCCGAAGTCACACTTTGGCTAGGTAACTATAATCGCGCACGCACGTGATTGGTTCAGCATCAATTTTAGGTGAACGTGATCACATTAGCAAATGCTCGACGCTCAAAAGCAGACGCTGATCGCGTTGACCAAGTATGCTGTACTGATTCACTACAAACATTAACACCATCGTACTCCTTCTTCAGTGACTGCTATCGTATAGTGTTTTTGCAGCTTGATTCAGTTCACCGAACTGGATCACTAATATCAAAGGGCGAGCTCCAGAGATTACTTCCGTACCTGAATGAAGAAAATACGTAGCTTATACATTTAGGGAGCCGCGGATGAGTATTTACTATTCGCTAATAACCCTTTACCGCATACATTAAACAAGTAATTCGATTTGAAATCGCCTAGATTGTCAAATTCGTTTGTTGTTCTTATGTGATCCTTATGACCGAAATTTCACAGTCAATCTCTGCGACACATTATCAGCGGTACAAGAAGCAGAAGAATACATTGAGTCCTGTGACACGGTGCAAAACAGTACGCAATAGGCGAAGCAAATTTTGCTGCGTGGCGCTTCATCGTGATCTTTCTGGAGAGCACGGAACGAAGTAAAGGTCGAGAGTAGGTTTAGCGCTTTTCGTTTTGGCTAATAAGACTACTAGGATTCTACGATGTCGTCGCTCGTACCGTCGCCGCTATTGCTCCTGCTACTGCCTGGACTCTGACTGCACAATACCGTCGTTTAATTATGTTGTGGAGCTACACAGCTCTTAGTCAGAGGAAGACTTACGACTATAGAAGTCAATTAGTTGTACGGAACTAATTTCCTACTAGTTTAAAGAGTCTTTAGTTCTTAGAACTAATCCACCAAGACTCGAAGAGTCCTAAAGCTTGTAGAATTTCTAGTCCTAGGTCAAGGGATTAATAACAATTTTAAAAATCGTACGCACAGGTGCTCTCGAGTTTACGCTGCAAGATGGCTAATACTCCTAACGATCTACTGAAGTGTAAACTAGGCACGTGTCAATCGAAGATCGAAAGAGTAACTGAACTTTTATTTCTTAGTTTTACCTGTGATAACTCTCATCCAACTACCTAGTACTATGGTTATAACTAATTCGCATAGTAATCTTCAGTGTGTTAAAGATTGATGGATGGTACATCAATCTGTCATCGATGGATTACTGAGGTTATCCGCCACATCAATTATCCCAGATAACACTTGGAGTTGTATATTACAAATAGAAGGTATATCCTCTTAGGGCGGTAACTATCGTGTGACCCGTTACAGATTACATCCCGGTGAGATCAGCTGCTAAGTGCCTTCATTTAAATGCGATAAGGAATTGTTCGCCACCAACCAAGGCACCATCCTTGCATGGGCCGGGACCTCCTCCAACGGTGTATTCTGCGTGACTTGCATGATCAGATACAGTTGTTTAATCTCAGCATGTATCGTTTGTAGTAGGTGATTTGAAATTAGTGCCATCGTACAAGCTGCAACTGTCATCGTCACAATTGACAAGTGTGTTTATTTATTGGAATAACATGCAGTACTTTGTCCCGTATTTTACCTGTTGAGGTAACCGCAGATTAGATAGTTATGGTCGGCTTTTTGCAGTGGGGACGTTGCACTGACCAGCCTGTCGCTCGACATGTAATAGGTTTGGATGCATTGTGCACTTCCAGATCATGTGCGCGGTCAGCTGTGCGGTGCCTTCGTGTACTTGTTTGGTAGTTAGCTAATGCGATCACGATCTTAGACACGACTAAAGGACCGACTTCGTGCATTTATGCAGTGTGTGTTGAGGTGACACTTTGGATGAAAGGTTTGAGTCGAGGATGGTCCCAGCGGGTCGGCTGGTCGAGACTGTGAGATCCGAACACTGCCATAGAATTCGTGATATGCACACCTCTACTTTAATGGTTCGATGATGCATCTAAATCAGCACTTTAGTTTCTGGTTCACTCATTGTACTTCGAGCCTCTCGCCGCATCATCGACCATTACTGGCAAGCGAACGTGGCTTGCCAGATGTTCTACGGAAACATCACCCGTATATTGATTTGAGCCGTCGATTTACGTTTAGGCTTGAATCGACAGCGTTGAGGATGAGACGCGAATACCCTTTTTAGAATCTTCATGTAACTTATGGTGACAAGGCAGTTGCAACTTGTGTCAGCGTGTCGAAGCCGAAGCAGCACAATTACTACCCTCACTGGAGAGGACACCAAACTTCATTCTGTTCAGTTTGAGTTGCATCGACATGTTGCCTTGTCATTTAGACAGACTCGATACGAGTCTGAGGCCTGGAAAGGACAAGCCTTGTGGTACTTGGATGCGCCAAAAAGATACACGTGCAAGCTCCCTGCATTGCTGAATGGGTCAACTGTTGCCACGTAGCTATGTGTAACGGACTTAGTTGTGAAATACGGGCATCGGTCGTGATCCTGACCACGTTGAAGCGCACCAGAATCTGTCCAGACAGATCCCGACGTACCGCTACAACTCGTGGATATTTGCTGGTTAGGTTGACAGTATGACGTGCAGACCCCCATTTCAGGAATCGCGCAAGTCGCTACCCTTTGAGGGAAAACGCTGTTAGGAACATGTGACGGACAATCTATAATAGGCGTTAGTTTGCGGATGGAAGACTGAAGGGGCAAGACGACCGGACACGCATATTTCGAAGGAGCACAATTTGGATGTAATCACAAATGTACAAATGACGAAGGACAGTCCACATAACCTTGTAAGGGATTTGCTTCTAATTTGGAATGAAGCATCACTGCTGTCCAATCGGTGTATGAGGTGTCGTGGCCTGAGGTTATGTGGGTGGTACTTGTTCACGAGCCCAAAAGGAGTGCGTCCTAGCCAGTTTAGTTGCGGCAGCCACTCTACAATTGTCGGGTCAGTAGGATGACAAATGACATGTTGTGGGAAAGACTGATTTGGAGATTCACCTAAATCGTAACGGCCTTCATGACTGCTTAACAGGTTCTACCTGAGCCAGATTCTCGTTGAAGTCCTGGCGTGCGATCAAGGTTGCTTGTGTCCAAGATGCGATTGGTGAAGCAGAGACTGCGTGGTGAGATCGTTGCGAAACGTGTCGATAATGAGCTGTGTTCTTAGAGATGTGGCGGTAGTTTAGCAAACGCCCTACAGAGATCGTCGACCTGCCCCACCTGGACCGACTGCGCGAGGCTTGCCCAATTTGCTAAACAGTGCATTGTTCCGTCCGTTTAGCATCGGCTTCTTTGTCAAGTGTCGGCTGAATGGAGCTGGTGCGAGTATGGGCGTCTGAATCCTCGAAAACGTAGTGATAGAGCTATCTGGAAATAGCAAAGTGTAAAAGTCCGATCTCGTATGTCCCGCAAAACAGTAGTGATCGGGGCCGTTTAGTCAGCAGAGTTACCCGTACAGTTGCGGTGACTCGTCCTCAACTAAACATCGATTCGATTCTACATTGCCTTCGGTTATGCTGCTACAGCCACTTTATGTGGAGGAGCTACTGACAAGTCTAGCCACTTCAACTATGTGCCAGGGATTGGATGAACTTGCACAGTCGGACATGACTGCACGTCTACTTTTGTCACTACTCTGGCAGCAAGACTTATGGTGATGATAGCTTGCCGCCAAGTGAGCCGTGACTGCAAGAAGCAGCGTGTACCCTTGATCTAAGAGGACGATATGACTTTGATGGCAAAGGTGCGCACTAATGTCCCACATTTTGGATCGTTTTCGAGCAGCTGCGCAGTGTCAAGTCGGTCATATTCTTGTTTAGCGACCGTCGAAAAGGCACCGTGATTGAGGAGGAGCTGAGACATCTAGCCATGATTGTACAAGATGGACGATATCAAGCAAGGCATAACCGAAGGCCACAACTACAATCGATCACTGGTCCCAAGAATTTGCGGTCAAAGGTGAACTCTCTCCGCCAATTGCGACTCCGAGAAAGTCTTGTCATGTTCATCGCGCAAGTCATACTATACTGTAGATTATCAGCGCGAGCTACGAACAACCGTCAGTCGGTCAAGTTATGTCGAACCCCGGTATGCCGATACGATGCTTACCAGATATATGAGCTGAATAGGACACGTCTATGTGACTGCATACTGACTGAGCAAGTAGACCTATTGCTAACGATTTCTCGGTAAAGTCATACAGCTGCTACCCTAAACTGCAGAAGCAGAAGATGAGGCAGTCTAGTCGTCAATGTCCACTACAGACAGGACATTATGAGTTGATCAGATGCACGTGCGTGCACAGTGTCGATAGCTCTCGCCGGACAAATGGCTGATTTAGTCAGACTATGAACAAGTATGTAAGAATGAGCCACTTTTTGTGCTAACATTGTGCTAGCACATCGAGGCCGTTTTAGGTACGTTTAACGCAGACATAGAGTAAGCTGGTAAGCGTTACTACACCAAGAGTATGCCCCAAAATTAGGATCCAAAGAGCTTCATGATGCTATAATACTTAACGCAGTACACTGCACACCCATTCCAGCACAGAACGACCACGTCAGTGCTGGAAACGAAATGCTACCATTCTGGTGAAATGGATACGTGAGTAAATTTGGGTCGAAATGCAATGAACACGCCAGTGCTGGTCCGTCACAGAAGAGCGCTGGCTACTAGCGCCGATGTCTGGCATACCACACGAATCATGGAAACTGGTGTTTCTGGGTACGATAATTAGAAACCCGCCAGCGCTGAACTTTTCACCTGACCAATGTGCTCAAATGAAGTCGACTAAAATCTGATGCGTCATCAAATTCATTGAGCGGGGGCAGAAGTGCTCGTTAATCTAGCAGCAAAGCGAGGATGGTCACGAACGAACACTCCACGAAAACTCTGGCAATCGGACAGGAATGTGTTTTCCCCACGCCATTTTCCGCAATCTAATTTCTGTTACAAATCAACGCCAGTTCTTTGTCACTCTCCCTCTATTTAGTGATAGTCCCTGTAAATATTCACGCGTATATTCCGCCATTTGCACGCAAACTTCACGTGAATGCCATCCCCCTCTTTTCGCAAGTCCTCACTTTTGTACGACTGATTTGCAGTGTGGAACTCACCACGATGGCTCCAGGTACAAGGCGTCGCAGTGCGAGCTGTTTTCGATGCCATTACATGCATCCCTTACTCACTGCAGCTATGAGACTGACTGGCTGCTCTAGGAGGTCGTGTACGTAAAGAGCTCGACGAGTGTCAGAAAGACTCGCACCTGTCGGGTGTCACGGCCGTGCCGGTTCACGCGACGTCACTGTTTGAGTTACGTGGCTCGATTCAGGGGCCAGAAGGCACGCCATACGAAGGCGGTCAGTTTGAGCTCGAGATCTGCATTCCTCCCAAGTAAGAATATTCTCTTGTCGAAACTCGTCCGACATAGTAGTAGAACTACTACTACTGTTACTACTATTCTATAACATTAGTCAACACGTACTGATCCCACGTCCAAATGGATACACCATCTATACTTGTTTCCAGGTACCCGTTCGAGCCGCCGCAGATGCGCTTCTTGACCAAAATCTGGCACCCAAACATATCGTCCCAAACAGGCGCCATTTGTCTGGATATCCTCAAAGATGCGTGGTCACCAGCCCTGACAATCAAGACGGCCTTGCTATCAATCCAAGCGCTGCTGTCGGCAGCTGAACCCACGGACCCACAAGACGCCGAGGTGGCCAAGATGTATCTCCATGACCAAAAGCAGTTCCTCAGCACTGCACGCTTCTGGACCGAGAGCTACGCCAAGCAGACCAACACTGGAGACGATGCAGCACTGTCCAGACTCATGGATATGGGCTTTCCATCGGTACGGACGTCGTCTCGGTGCTCTTTGTCATTGTCGTTGCTGCTCATTCAATGATTGTGTGCCTTGATTTGGATAGGACAAAGCAAAGGCAGCACTGCTTGCAGCCAATGGCGACGAGAATGCAGCAATCGAGAACTTGGTCAGCAGCATGTAGGGCGGTCGCTTCTGCGGCAGCTTTTTCAATGCATTTTAGGAGAGGACCTTCTCTGGCTTGCAGAACAACGTACGAATGAGTACGTACGAGCTTGTCGGTCATTCGCTCGATACAGAACGTTATTTTTTCTTGGACTTGGACTGTGTTGCGCGACTCGCCGTCTTGGCAGACACCTTTTCGTTTAGCTTCTTCTGGAGCACTTTGCGCTTGTCGCTAGTGAGTGTCTTCTTCGGGTTGTTGGATGTCGTCGGGCGCTGGAACTCGGCTCGCTCGAATTTGCGTACGGCGGCTCCGCATCCATGTACTTCAGGCTGAACGTGGTCGTAGCAGAACTTGAGGTTGCAGAATTTGCACACGCTACCGAACATGACGATGCTCTTCTTGCAGCGACTCGACAGTTGGAAAGCACAACTTTGGCTCTTGCTTGCTTGTCGAGTAAGAAAGTCGAGCTCGTCTTCGCCATCTCTTAGCTCCTCGATCGTCGCATTGGTGGCAGCTTTTGCAGCACCCCTTTTCTTCTTCTTCCGTTTTGCACATGGTGCTGGCGGTGGAACAGGTTGTCGAGTGAGTCGATTCAGATGCAAATCTTTCAACAGCGAGTTGGCAGCTGTAAGATCCGTTCCAGCATGCAGATTGCTGAGTTTACAGTCGTCGACGTCCTCCTTTAGCCCATCACTTTTCCGCTCGTCGTCCGAACTATCGCTATCCGAACTCATCATCTGGAAAACGCTTTTGGTCACGACAGACTCGTCTTCTGTCTCATCTTTACTCTTCTGAACCACATCATCAACAACATCGGATGCATTTGACTTTGTGCCGAGGATCTGAGCTTCGTCTTCAGTCTGCTCAGCCGTATCTGACTTTACCAAAGGCGGAGGATTAGCCTTCACCACTTTCTTCTGCGTCACCGTCCTCTTCGGCTTTGCAGCTTTTGCAATATTGGTCGTTGCAGCACCATTCACTTGGGATAGAGCACCACGTGTACTACACGTCGATGCACTCTGCGACAACATCAGCTGCTCGTCCACTACGCCTTTGACGACATCCATCTCCAAATACTCTTGCGCACTCCGATACTCGCCAAAGTTTTCGAAATGCTGGACTAGCGCGGCCAAAAACTTGTGTGAAGTGATTGTGTCAGTGTCGCACACCACTGCAACATGCCGCTTTGCTCGCGTAATGGCCACATTTATGCGACGGTCATCGGCTAGAAAACCTACTTGCTTGGAAGCATTGGACCGCACTAGACTCATGACAACAGCCTCCTTCTCACAGCCTTGGAAACCGTCGACCGACCTGACTTTGAGCTTTGGATACTGTTCAAGCAGCAAAGCCTTCAATGCCTGCACCTGCTTATTGTACGGCGTGATCACTGCCACCTCATCCTCCTTCAAGCCAGCCTCTAGCAGAGCTTGGACGTGTCTTGCCGCAATAAGAGCCTCGCCCTTGTTCGACTTCGACAGCCGAAGAACCTCCTGACCTTCGTCGTGGTCCTCATCTACGTCCTCTTCAAGATCACATCCAGCCGTGTCCAACAGCAGTAATGTAGCATCTAGAAACTCATCCTCTTCCGAGATGTTGACATGCGGTAATTCGTGCAGCTTGCGCTTCGCTACACCGTCAAAGCTTTTCAGCTCTCCTTTGTACATTGCTTGCGAACTCCACTCGCTGATATGCTCGTGCATTCGATATTGTATATTCAGCATCTTCACAATGTTTTGCGTATGTGCAAAGTGTGTGATCCGGTCGAATAAAGTCACCTCGAGACCCTTGGCTGCTGCAGTCTTCGACTTGATTGTAGGTGGCAGCTGCAAGTGGTCACCAGCGAGCACACACCGCCTCGCTTTCAATATAGGAATCCAACAAGACACTTCAAGCGCCTGTGCTGCCTCGTCAATTATCACCAAGTCGAACGTCACGTCTTTCAACAACGTGGATGCCGCACCGACGTTCGTCGCAAACACCACGTCGCTTTGTCGAACAACCTCACCCACCACCTTCTTCTCCCGTACGCAAATCTCCTTCCGATTCGCCTTCATCTCCCGTCTCAATTGAAATCGCACACTCTTGTCACGTGTCTTGTGCAGCTTGGTCAGCATGTCTCCCATCTCTTTTCGGATATCCTTCACAATCTCCGTGCCTTCTGCCTGCTGAATCTTTGCATCCAGACAGTACTTGACAATGTGCGGCAACATACGTGCAGGGTGGCCAACACGCGTAAGTCTCAGCTGTTTGTGCACTGTCAAGCACGTTTTTGCAAGCTTTTCCAGCACGTTATCCACTGCAATATTCGACGGTGCACAGACGAGCACTTTCAAGTTGAAAGCTGTCACAGCTTGTAAGATCAACTCGACGACACTCGTCGTCTTACCTGTTCCTGGCGGGCCATGAATCAAAGCCACGTCCTTGGACGCCAAAGCGAAGCGAACGGCTTCAACTTGAGACTCATCAAGTTCCAAATGGAATGGAATCAAAACAGGCAGAGGCGTGTGCCATTGAGGCTCACGCGTGGCGAAAATCACGTCAATAACAGCCTGAGCAGCTGCTACATCGTGTTTTTCCATCTGCCGGAGCACCCGCAAGAGCTTCTCAAACGTCGCATTGTTTACCAGTCGATCCAGGGTAAAAGTTGCACCCAAATCGTCCCATTCGTCAGCATCTGGATTTTCGGATACGTCACTGGGCTGGATGGCTACACAAAGCGACTGGTCTTCGACACGTGAGACAATGCCGGTCGGCCACAACAGTCCCGTTTGCATGCTCTTTTTCTGTCCGCGAAGTTGCACCACATCGCCGACTTTAAAATGGTGTGGTGTAGTGTGTCGTATACTTAACGAAGGCAAACGAAACTGCAGCACGGAGCGACCGAATAAACCCGTCGAGCAGCGCGCGAGCGTTAAGTGCGTCAACACGTTCGGATTGTCCTTGTCATGCAGCATCTGCAGCTCGTTCTGTCTCGTCTGAGTCTCTTCCTTCTGCTCGAGCTGAAGCAATCGACGGGTCATCGCGACCCACGCTTCCATCGCCATCACGTCTGACATGTTGCGCATTTCTTCGATCGTCCAAAAAGTACTCACCTTATTTCCGCTCTAAGTACGCACTTTTCACTCCACTGACCAATGAGAACACCCGCTTCCTCCAACCGCCACCACTCATTCGCTGTTATTCCCTTTCTACTTATCCACCAATCACAAACTACCAAACCAAGAACCCACCCACACACCCACCCCACTCACACTTTAAGAGCAGGTACAATGACGGATCTCGACGCCCCAAGTCTGCGCCGACGCCACGTCCAGAACCCACAGCCAGTCGCCGCCGAGCGCACACCGCCACAAGCACCTGCACGAGCTCCACCACATCGGAAAGGCTTTGTTGAGCTGCTTCTGTCGCCCCTGAGCTTCGTCTTGGGCGACGGCGAGCCGGAAGATCCACAGACCGCGGCGCGGAATTTCACGCACCGTCTGCGTCGACGCTATGGGGACGACGTGACGCCAGGATTCGAGCACACGTCGTTCCGTGATGCCGTGTCGACGGCCCGGACCGCGTCCAAGTTCTTGCTGGTGTTCTTACACTCGAACATCCATGACGACGCCGCGGTGTTTTGCCGGTAAGAGCAGATGTTCTTGTGTCGACAGTTGTAGAGCAGTGCGATTGATGTGATTTGAGTGGCGGATATTGTTTTGAGTGGCTAAATTGTGATTGGTGGAAATTTGTGTCCAGACAAGCTATGTGCACCGCGCGGATGCGCACGTACTTGAACAATAGCGACTGTATTGTGGCGTGGGCTGGGTGTGTGCAGTATGCGGAGGGCTTTGGTGTGAGTTTGTCGCTTGGATGCGCTTCGTTTCCATTTGTGGCGCTGCTGTCGTGTGTCTCGCGAGGGATTAACGTTGTCGAGAAGATTACGGGTACGTACGTGTTGTGAGGGTGATGCTCTTTAACTGTAGGTTGCGTAGAAGTGTTGGTTTTTTCGTGCTAAGATGGTTGGGTGATCATTGTTTGTGCGGTGGTTGTGGCGGTGCATACATGAATGTAGCCAACTTACCAGCGGAAGCGTTGATTGAGAAACTGAATGCAGCTGTCGAGCGCAATAATCAGATCTTGACGACGGCGCGTCGCATTCGCCAACAACGGAGCGAGGCGCAAATATTACGGGAACAACAAGATGTCGAGTATCAAGAGTCGTTGGCAGCAGACCGTCGTCGAGAGCAAGAGGCTCGAGAACGGGCGGAGTTGGAGGAGCTGGAGCGACTGCAGAAGGAGGAGGAAGAGCGACTTGCTGAGCTAACCGTCCGTCGTGCTGAAGAGGACCGGCTTCGCCAGGAACAAGAGTACAAGGTCGCAATTGAAGCAAAGCGGGCCCAAATTGCTGACGGCCCCAAGTCACGTACCCCACCGCCAGGTGCAGGCTATAAGACCGCGGTGATCAAGTTCCATCTACACAATGGCACGCGCTTGGAACACATTTTCTACGCGCACGACACGCTGAAGAGTGTGCGTGACTTTATTGATGTGGCGTTCTATGACCGCGAGATCCCAATCCAAAATTACGAGCTGGCCACGAACTTTCCAAAACGAGTGTATGGCCCGGAACTACTGGCTGTCACCCTCGCTGATGCTGTACGTATCGTCTGTTTGACTTGCGTTGTTGACGTCTTGATGCGTGCTAACACGGATACATGTGCGTTTTGTATTCCCGCAAGCAGGGACTTGCGCCGCAGGCGCTCGTGTTCGTGCAAGATCTCGACTCGTAGGTATGCATAAAACCAAATGAACGACCGATTGTGCGACGAATGAGCGAGACGGTTTAACTCTACATTACGTAAGCTCACCACATGTGGCGGTTCAATAAGGTCCATGTCAAGCTGACTGCATAAGCAGAGCAGATGCGCATTTTGTGTACTCACAGGTCAAGTCATCGGGCAATACGACGCTGACCTTGGACGAACGATCGCGAACGGGTATACTGGAATAAAATCAAAAGAGAGACGCTGCCTCATGATAAGTGGAGAGCACGTAGCTTGCCTGACGCTGCTCGATACATACGGTCATGCAGTGCGGCAGCCTGCTGATGAGACTCGGAAGCCACTCCTGTGATCACAATGCGCTCGACGCCCTCGACATTTTCCGACCAGCGCAACGAGTCAAAAATGCGTTGCGAAGCCTCAACTACATCGCCCGTTGGCGAAAGATCAAGGTAAGCTCTCACGCGGTTCTTCAAGCCAACCAACTTGCTATGGAAATCAATGACTACCCACCGGCTGATATCCTGTGCACTCGACGCGTCCATTTTCTCAGACGCGTCAGCCTGGTACAAATACGTATCGACGTCCGGTGCGTAGTGCGTAATCATCTGACCAGGTGCTTGTTGTGCCTCCTTCGTCTGCAGCGTGGCTTCCTCCTGAATCGTCACTACTTCATACTGCCCGCCAAGCAATTCAGCATTCTCCCGAAGCACCTGTTTCAGCATTAACTCCGATACACCCCCACGTCGAAACACAATGAGCTTGTGCTCCTCTGGCACGATTTTCACCACGGTCGACTCAATACCGACTTTACAGCACCCTTCGTCATTTGCTTCCAAGATACTCAAGTTTCCACAAGAGCCTAAATCATCCAGAACGTGCTGGGCGGTTGTCGGACTCACGTGACCAAATCGATTTGCACTTGGAGCGGCCACTGGGACCTTGGCTGCTTTCAAAAGTGCCTGTGCAACGGGATGTTCCGGACACCGAAGCCCGACGAACCCCGTATTGGCTGACAAGGTAAGTGGTAAATCTGAAATCGCTTTGGCAATCAGAGTCAAGGGTCCAGGCCAGAAAGCTCTGCCGAGACAATGGAAAACTTGACAACCCATCGGTGTCAAGTCCACGAGCTTCACTGCGTCTTCTAGTGCTGGAACGTGCACAATCAACGGATCCGTGAGCGGACGTGCTTTGGCAGTAAAAATTGACAGCACGGCCTTTGGATTCAAAGCGTTGGCCCCCAAACCGTAGACAGTCTCAGTAGGGAACGCAATCAAGTTTCCGAGACGCAATTGCTCCGCTGCAATGGCGAACCCTTCAGCATCAGGTTGTAACAAACGTGCCATGGTGGAGTGAAGACGATCGGATCGAATGCTTCGGATCGAGGTCACCCGTCGGTGGTGGATGGAAAACGTCTTGACTGGACTGACTAGACTTTCAATGGTTGACAAGCTGCGATGATGGATCGATAACCTTTCGTGATTTCGACCCTTTTTTAGGAGCTCGAGTTCCAGACTGACATGTGTGTGTGTGACCACTTGTTTACAATATGCAAGGCTATCTAGCTAGTACTACTGAGAAGAATGACTGGTACAGCGTGGGACCGGGTTTTATCCTTGGTAGGAGCTGTCCGGGGCCTGCGGATGGCCTGTTTGCTCGAGCGTAATGATGGAGCGTGTCTCGCCTTGACCATGCAAAGCGTTGAACCACCGGGTGATGGATCCTCTCTTGCCATCCAGCTGGTGAAATTCTCAGTTTTTATTGGCGACCTTGTCAACTGGTCGGCAGGCCCCTCCCGTCCATTTAGGCCATCGGCCACATTTGAACTGGTATGAACGAACGGGCTCTATGACAACCAGCCTTCTCATCAACAAAATCGTCGCATAAAGTTAGTGATGGCCGTACAGCTTGCACAACCACGAAGCTTGTTAAATGTGGGATCAAATGAGGAGGCCCAGACACTTGATCCAGTATAATAAAAAGCTACTCAGACACAGCCTGTGGGCGTGTTTCTAGCCAGCGGTTGGGTTCAGTGTCACTTCACGACCTTTTTCATTAATCAAATCCCTATTCCCCTTACATGCAGTCGAAACCGAACGTTGTGCAAAGTGCCAGCTGCAGTCATACATCAAGTGCTGATCAACCGGCTGGAACTTGTACCTTCAGACGCGGCAGTGCGAATCTGAATACCTCCTAAAAACTGCCAGGATATCTGAGACTTTCGATGCACTGGTCCTTGAACGCTACCAGCTCCACCTATCGCAAAGAAGTTCACGGCTTTGTCAGCGCTGCTTTTCCCGAACCTTTCGTGAGTAACGATTAGCAAGTCGCCATGATTGGAACAGACTTCAGTCGCTGCGACATAGCCCAGCCAGACTTGATCACGTCGAGTCATTTGGCATGACACTGGCAACAAATAACCCACATCCACTTATCGATTTGCTTTGGTCTCGCTGCTTATTCGATCTCAGTCTCCTCCCACAAGTCGAATTCCGTGCCCTGAGACCAATTTCCAGAGCAGACCATGGCGTTTTTCACGTCCGAGGACCTCAAAATTGCCTTCAACTTCTTCTGTACCGTGTATGGCATTGGCACGCTCGGTCTTCCTTCCAACTTTGCTCGCTCGGGTGCAGTTCTCGCGACAATCGCCCTTGTTTTTATGGGGTTTGCCAACATTTGCTCGTGCGTGGCCATTTCACGCGTCATGGCAGCTGCCCCGAAGAATGTCAAGACATACGGAGACGTTGGTGAATGGTGTTGTGGCAAAGCTGGACGGTATTTGGTCCTCTTTGTCCAATTTGGAGTGTGCTGCTTGGTACCGTGCGCGTTTCTAGTGCTTGGTGGAATCCTGCTCGACGGTATCTCTCCAAGGGCTTTCAACCAACAGTACTGGAGTATCATCATGGCTGCTATGCTGCTGCCTGTAATTTTGACGCCCACGCTCAAGGAAGGAGCTGCTGCGGCTTTTGCGGGATGTCTTGGCACGCTTCTTGCTGATGCAATTGCTCTGAGTGTCTTGGTTAATGGCATTGGGTTGAATCACCCAGCTGTGATCAGCCCCGACTTTGACGTTGGACAGATAGCGAGCTCATTTGGCAATCTAGCCCTGGCTTACTCTGCCGCTGTGCTCGTGCCCGCGCTTCAGCGTGAACACTCGCAGCCAGAACGTATGCCCCGTGTTGTTGCCACGACGATGGTCTTTACCAGCTGCCTCTTCCTCACCATTGGATGGACATCGTATTCTTTCGTTGGTTGTCAGATCCCGGGAAATTTGCTCTTTGCTATTGGTGGCACTGCTCTTAACCTGCACGCAAACCGCGGTGCTGTTGTGCTAGCCTTTATGTTTATGCAGCTACACATCACTATTGCAATGTCCGTGATCTTGAACCCCGTGCTTTATATTGCGGAGCGCGGTATTCTTGGCATGCACAAGCGTCCTGCGCTTACTATTGTTGATGAGGAGTCTCCGGCGTTCGACGGGATCAACACGCCGCAAAAGGCAGGCAATTCGGTTGTCTCGTTGGCCGATGCAGAGCATGTTATATCAGCCGAGGCTTTGCTTGATGAATACCACAACAGCGGACCCCTCGTGACGGCCAAGTACATGACTCTTCGCATCACCATTGTCGTGATTCTTCTCGTCATCGCCATAATATTCAAGGATCATTTCGTGGACTTTACCGACTTTGTCGGTGCGTGGGCTGTCTCAATGGCTTGTATCATTCTTCCGGTCTTCTTCTACTTCAAGGCGTTTTGGCACTGCATTCCGTTGTACGAGAAGATCATTGGCACCTTCATCATTGCTATCTGTGCAAGTCTGGGTGGATACGTGACGTTCACGACGGGCAAGAACCTCTTTTTAAACATTGTAAGTGACAAGACGTTCAAGTACTGCCCATCGGGCTTCGACATGGTCGTGTACACTAATGAGACCTTTTACGGCATGAACTAGAGCATTCAGTAGAGAGTGCTCGAGTGCCAGTGCGCTGCGATGAAGGAGATTCATCGCACCGTGCTATTGCTGCAGTTCTTGTATTATCGTTACCATGATACACCTCAGTGAGTGCCAATGATACTACAATTAGCTAGTGTAGTTACTTCATTTGCCATCATTTTGTCATCTATATATTGTACAGTGTTGCGAAGTGATGTACCATAGGGGTCAACGTGGTTGCAAGCAGCACAACAAAATCTCATAAATTTTGATTATCTTGTGTAGTGTATGTGTTACGAGGTCTTACAGGTCTGCGTGAGTACACTACCGCACATTGCGATGAAGCTTAAAACAGGTTGATTCCATTACCAGGAGGCTACGGCGTGCGTGGCTCCCATCAGACAGGGATATACGATGCGACTACATTGCAAGTGAACCTAAACTATTGTTTTGACCAGCAAGCAGGCTTGAGAAGCAGCATTTGACTCGAACGTTTGATCCAGATCAAACAATCAAGTACGTCAAAACGATGCTGTATTACCTAGTAATACAGCATCGTTTTGACGTACTGGTGCCTTAATGGTGCCTGGTAGGAACAAAGTTTGATGAGAACGTTCGATTGGGACGAGATTCGATTGAATTAAAATCCATTTCCGACAACGCATTAGACATCACCAACTGATTGACAAACTGTGTCCAACTGTAGCCCCAAGTACACAAACGCATTTAATCAGTCATTTTTGAGTCGTGATGTGCGGTCGCCCTGACTGTAACAAGGTAGTCCGCTACATAATATTGACACCAAACCGTGTCAATAGGGAGATTGTCTGCGTGACAATATCCTACCAATATTTTCCGAGACGGATAGTAGTGAAGGAATATTATTCCCTTTGTAAGACAATATTCATGCGCTGCTCAAAGATTGATTGATTAAGACATATCAACCATAGATTGCCACCAATCGCTGCCAGACGCGCGCAATGAGTGGTGAGCAGGTTGTCGTCATACGACAATGTAGATTAAATTAGTTAGATGAAGATTAAAGTTATATTGATAGCTTAACTATGTTGAAAACAATGCTCTTTTTACCCATCACGCAACCTAGCTGTTTGAGTAGAATAGCTTCCTCTGCACGTACGAGCGTACATAAAGTTTCGCGGCACCCCGAACAAAGGGTGCCCCGTTACACCTGGTATCACTTCGTAGTCCGTCCAAGGACTATTTAAGTGTCCGTCCAACATGAACATGTTGGACGTAGAAGACGACAGCTTTCACGTCACACGTGAAGGCTACTCCCATCTGAGCGACTCAGAATGGGAGGTAGTCGGCCGCATGAGGGTGCTCATGGGCGAACCCGGCATCAGTGGTATGTTGGAGTCTCTAAGCAAAGACCAGCAACATGATTCTATCAACAAGTTCCTACAAGGGGAACTTGCCGTCGAAAGAAAGAAGATAGCCTTGCTATAACAGCAAGGCTCTCATCAGTCGATGGGCGGGCCGACGCACATGCGTCGATCCGAAACCTTGATTGAAGATTGATATCTCAAGGTACAAGGGAACTGATGAAGACTCTTTTTCGAGATGGTTCGTCGAGCTAAACAATGCTATCAGGACCCGTCACATCGAGGGTGACGAGTGAAAGTCACCTTTGCCCTATCAAATTTGACAGAACGAGCAAAGACTTGGGCCTCAGGGCTCAAGCTTAAGACCCAAACGTGTTTGAGTCGTTGGAGATCTTGAAGTCTCGGCTCAAAGAGACCTTGAGCCGACAAGAGCCGATTTCAGAGCACGCTCTGCACTTCTGAGGCTCAAGCAAAGTAAGCGTGATGTGCATGATTACGCACAACACCTACACTACCTTGCGAGTAGCGTCATGGAAGACCCTGTTGATGAGCACACACTCATCAACTTTTTCATCTACGGCCTTGTAGATGAACCGGTGAAGACCTACATGTTCCGAGAGGACTTCCATACGCTGGAAAGGGCGATAGCGTATGCGGAACAAGAATACTTCAGCCTGATACAGTCTGAGGCTAACTCGTCAAACTATCGTCCGACGAGGCGACAGAAAACAGGAGGTCTCGAACCAATGGACGTATATTATGTTGAGAGCAAGAACTATCGCTCTCTGAGTCACAAGCGAGCGGCAAGGTGCCACCGCTGTCAGAAAGATTGGACACTATGCTCATGAGTGTAGTGTCCCCAGCACCGCATCACGTCCAAAGACAAGACGTGATGACCGTCATTGGCCGAAGAAAGGTCCAAGGCGCGGATCCGAACATGTCGCTGAATCGCGACAGCAAGTCGGACCGCCAGAAAATGGCCAGGGTCAGTAGGGGTAGAGCACCCTGCTGATCCATCAATTCAAAATAATTTGCAGGACTCTTGACAAAGATTGCTCTTAGCATGCAGTCTCTGTGTATTACTGACCATAGTAATGAGGTGTTCCTCATCACTTTAAAGATAGAAGTGACAAGTGGAATGTCACTTCGCGCCCTAGTTGACTGTGGGGTGTCGAACAGTTTTATTCAACGCCAGTAGCTAGAAGATAGTAGACTCAACTATGTTGAGCGAGAGTTCCTTCCAACGAGGATGACGGTGTGCCTTGCAACAGGCGCATCCGTAACAGGGAAGAAGCGTATAGTGGGAATCCACTACACGCTGGAAGGAAAGCAACACGATGATGACTTCATCGTACTCGATTTGGATGACAAATTTGACGTCATCCTTGGTCTGCATGGCTCCGAAAATACCAACCACGGATCAACTGGCAGCGCCGATCAGTGAAGATGCCTGCCGTTTGTTCATCAGATGGCCATCTGATGAACGTCTTGGAGCGTTTACAACCGTGTAGATGTACGAGTGAGTGCTATGGCCTCACTTGTGGTACGGTCGTTAGTATGACTGCAAAAGATCACAGTGTGGAAGGCCACTGCACCGTGGAACCAGATTCCGGCACCTGTGTAGAGACACAGGCTGTGCCGAAGGCTCACCACTCGAAGAGATCGAGTGGACCGAAACACGGATGCACATCAAGAAGGGTGCATCCAAGAAGAGAGATTAGTGTTGTTTACGATAGACGACACGTCCAATCAAGATCGACTAACATTGAGTCGATTGTAGATCAAGCCCGATTGGCTAAAAAAGAGAGTCGATAGAAGAACACGTGACCATAGTAGTACACCCACAGTCAGAACACGCATTAAAAGATAGTTCTTGCGTTCCTGAGAGTGATTACTACCGAGAGAGTCATGTTGAGGGTGTGATTTCTCAACCTCCTGCGAATGTGTTTTAACAGGAAACACCTAGACATTGAATGTCTTGGGGAATAACGGATCAAGTGTAGGCGCTTACACGATCGATCTGTTTACACCTCCAAAGTCAGATTCGGAGGTAATCAGTTTGCCAGCGCCAGAATTTAAAAGATTCTTGCGAGATCTGCGTAGCGACGAGATCAAGCAGATCTGCGTACTCGTCACAGAGGATGAGTACGTTGCCGATATTCGGTCGACACAAGCGTTTACTGAGCACGAACGGGTTCTCAGTAGCTCATCGATGGACAAACGTGCCCTCGATGATAAGACAAGGGTTGAGCGATACAATTCTCAATCTTGGGAGTCTTTGAATACAATTCCTCTGTATAAGGATTTGGTCAAATTAAGGGATGTTTCCTGAATCCGTGCCATGCAAGTTGCCGAAGGACAAAGGCACTCGGCACGAAATCGAATTGAAACCCGGTTTGAAGTACTGTGTCATGAAGCAGTGGCCACTGCCTCGTGAACAGGTCGCAGCGATCGCAAAATAATTTGCCGATCGCTTAGCGGTTGGCCCTGCGAGGGAATCATCATCCTCACACAGCTCTCCGACATTCTGTGTGCGAAAGGCCACAGGAGGGTGGCGGATAGTGCACGCGCTCAACAAATGGAACGCTGCAACGGTACCGACTCAAACGCCGATACCAAGTAAGGACGTCATCAATGATGGTATGGCAAAAAGTGCCACCTTCTGTCCATGGATCTGATGGGTGGATTCTATCAGATCCTCATGAGTGTACGGGGTATCCCGTACACAACAGTGAGCACCCCCAGTGGTATTCTCTGGGAGTAGCTAGTGATGCCTTAGGGGCTAAGGTAACGCCCCTGCAAGGCTCAACAGATGTGCTACGAATCTGTTGCGATCGGTGCGAGATTTTGCACCGAGTGACTCTGACTTTTTTTTTCGTCCATATCCGGGCTATGGATGGAAAGACGGACGCGGATGTTCATAAAATCCCCGTCTGGAAGGTTCTTACACTTATGCGTGAGCATAAGTTGTTCGCAAACCTCAAGAATTGTGTATTCGCAGCGAACGAAATACCACTTCTTGGCTGCATCGTGGGTAAAAAAGGCGTACGCCCTAATTCCGAAAAGATCAAGGCGATTAGCAACTGGCCTCTGCCAGTCAACTTCAATGGATTTAGAAAGTTTCTTGGCTTAGCGGCGTATTTGCACAAGCACTCGCGCAACTACGCCGAGACAGCCGTACATCTCTCTCGTCTATTAAATAAATACGAGAGGTGGTCATGGAGTGCTGAGTGTCAGCACTCCCTCGAAGGTATCATGAAAAGCTTGATACAATCGCCTGAGTTGGCGATTGAAGACCAAGACAGACCATTATACGTGGTCTGTGAAGCCAGAAATTTTGCAATCGGCTGCGCGTTAATGCAGTACTACTCAGACGGCGATGAGTGCGTCGTCTGTTATCAATCGCGTCAGCTGCAAGCAGTGGAGCATAGCTACCCATTGCATGACAAGGAACTCCTTGCCATGGAATATGCACAGGCTAAGCTTTGGGTATATCTTTTAGAAGATGGTACCGTCATCGTTATAACGACCATGCATCGTTATGCACGGCCATAAACAGTCCACACCTCTTGCAACGAACGGCAGGGTGGCTGTCTTTCTTCGCAGAGTACAACTTCTCCGTCGAGTGTAAACCAGGACGACTTAACGTCGTCGCTGATGCTCTTTCGCGTCGGC